AGGGGTTGCAGGATTACGGAGTGCAAGTGTCTGCGTTTGTCATGTTCTGTTTTTTTTTCACAGTCCAGATGATATGCAGGCAGTGCGTCCGATTCCCTTTACCAAGCCGCAGCGCATTTGGTACTTGACCGACTTGGTTATGGGTGCCAGCAGCGATGCGGGCATCACCATGTGCAGACCAAATTTTTGGCAAATGTGGAGGACTGTCACCTAACCGCGCGGCCTGGTTGCAGTAACTTTTTGTTTACCTGGCCAGTTTGGTTGGTCTTTTCTGCATTTCTTTGTGGCCTCTCAACTTTGATTGTTTGTCTTCGTGGCCTGTCCCGCGACGACAACTGTGCTGAGGTCTGTGCAAGTCATTGGCGGCGTTTTTTGGAAACAGATGAAAGATGATGGTCTTTGGTGACCTGGCTTCGCTGAAAGGATGTTTTGCGACGTAATTACTTTCCGTGATCATTTGATTCACGCGAGCATGCTTTGAGGTTGGATCTTGTTGGCGCGCATCCAGACCGCGGCGCTGCCCAACTAGCGATCCAAGAACTTGACCAAAAAGCTTTGCACGCTGGCTCCCCGCCCCTAGGCAACATGTCCTGCTGTCACAGCTGCATCTTGCTGACTTTCAAAGTGATAGGGAGTACGGTAATTACCACCTAGACGACAAGGTATTTCGCCCTGGCCTCGACGAACGGTGCGTACGAGTACTGGCAGAAACATGGGTTCCACGAGCTGATTGGGGAGGACGCAGCGCTGAAAGGGGCAGGTCTTTTTCTTATGGCACAACCTCTTGTTGCGCCGCTCAGGATGTCAGGGCCTATCATGTTGCGTAGTGGGAGGGATTTTGTTTGACTGTGTCGGTAGCCGCATGTTTCATTCCATTGACTGTCTTCTTGATTGTTGACGCGGAACGTTGAGTCTTAACTTGCGTTCACGCAGCAAGTTGCGTTCAGTCTTAAACCAAACCTGAGCTGGGAAGTGGGCGCAACATCCGAAACGCGAAATCTGCCGTGAGTGCCGATGTCTGGAATTCGTCACGTACACCCGCGCTTGCCCGTATGCAAGTACACGAAAATCGAGCAGCGCAAACATCTTCCAAGCACAACAGTTGAGAATTGCAGGGTTGGCTATAAATTTAAATTCAGGCCATCCAGCAGTCAGCATCCACATGGGGTTAGGTGTGCTTTTTGCGTCAGGATTAGTCCTTGCATATTGCTGCTATGATCCGGCTCGGCGTGTCGTTCTTTTTTTCCAACATTTTTGTTGCGTAGGGCCTTTCAATACAAATTGTGACTTTATGGTACATTGTAATTCTCGCAAGTTCCTTCCGAACACATGTAATAAGTAACAAGCTGACGGTTGATCAGTTGGGACCGGGGATGGACTTTCAGGGGTTGCCTTTTTTGCAAAGGTCGTTATCACATGCTCATTCCTCCAGGTCCTCCATTCCCAATTTGCTACCAAAAACGCAGCCTTGCAAACAAGCTCAGCTTTCTCGTTTCGTTCATGCTGTTGAGCTAATTGGCTCAGCTGTCGCAGTCGCTTCTCCGCCGACAAGTCGATGCTGTGCGCAGCCAAGGCTGCCACGCGGCTTTCCAAATTGAGTTTCGTCCACCCACATTTCGCCTTAGCTCCTTGTAGCAGGCAAGCAGAAAATCTCCAACCTGCCTAGACCCTACCAAACACCATGGCCCTAAGGCCTTTCTCTTTGCCCGACGCACGGGTTGAGGGACGTTGAGGGATCGGCCCCAACTAGCGACTGTACATGCCTCTACTGGCCCACAGGAATGACAGCGCAGCGCAGCACAGTGCACGCTTTTTTGTCATTTCACTTCACGCAGCCTCGGGAACACGTGACGAACTCGATGCCTGTCGACCGGTTTTTTGTTGAGCATTCGTGTCAAGGAACTGTTCTACTTCGCCTGTTTCTATGATCTTTTTCGATTTTTCCTCGCATTTCGATGTAGAAAGTTGTGGATTGGCCCCTCGTGGATGAATGCCTCGAGTTTGCGCGCTGGTGGCGGGGAGGGTTGAACATGTTGAACCTGGAGGGGTCTGTTTTCTTGTGCATGGACAAGCCCAGTTTGCTCGAGATTGTTGCCAGCTAGTTTGAGTCCGCTGATGGCGTTGCAACAGCCCTAAACCATCCTAAGCCCCGTAAGATGCCCAGGACCCCCCGGCCTTGGCGTGGCAGCTCGCGGCTGGCGCACAGGCTTGGCACCTGGACGCGAACGTCTTGGCCGAGGAGCCTCGAAGTTCAGCGCCGCAGGTTGCTTTAACACACATTTTTCAACACGTGAGACTTGCAATAAAGCAGTTTTGGCCATCAACGATTTGGCCGCAGGCACTACTTGATGAAAAAGCCCAGTACACGAATCGAGCACTTCGTCTCATGATCCGACCCTTGGCAAACAAGTCAGTGGAGCGCAGGCCGCAAGCTCTTGATGTTTGGAGTTTCAATCTGAAGACTTGCTTATTGCACGGTCTTTACTAGCTTGTGACGCCAACGGAGTTCAACGTTTTGGGTAAAGATGTTCGCTGAGGTTGGGTGGCAGGAACGGGCTGCGCCGGGTCAATGCAGGCAAGGTCGCCAAGAAGCAAGTGATGCTTATTTTGCCAATTTAGCCTCAGGCCTGTGCCAAAATGTGCTTATACTAGTGTTCTTGGAACCCTGCAGACGTATCTCGGGTTTGAAGACCCGGTGAGCTCGATTACCCCTTCCTCTTCCTCTTCAGTGGCGTCCGACTCCGACTCGGAGGACAGCCTATCACGAGATGCTTCAATCAGGCCACTGGAAGCTTTCAGCTGTCATCCCGGTACCGGAGCCTTTCCTACGTTTTCGTTGGCGTCATACTTTTGCCTGGTTGTGGCGTCAGGGTTTGAGTTTCGCGTCGCATCATCGTGCCGGCGAGGTTGCACATTACGATGGCGTGACCAGCCCTTTTTTGATTTTGCTTATAGCACAGCTCCAAACATAGAAATTACGCTTGTCATTGCACCCGTTTTGGATTGAAGCTTGATGCCTGGCCATGGAGAGCCCAAACTCGAAACATCTAGGCAGGATTTGTGTACAGACTCTCATAGGTGTCATAACGGGTCTCAATCAGGGCCTGGGGATGGGCTGGCTGGTCACACACACACAATCACAACAAGAGGTTGGCGCGTAGAGACCTTGGAACCCTCGCGGCTCGCGGGATTCGGGTCTCTTTTGGCGACATTTGTAAGATCCTATTTTAATGCCAGATTTTTGAAAGGTGCTGCAAGCTTCTGGCAAACTTAGCGACCCTGCCAGGACTTTGCAGCCGAGCCGTCGATGTCCTCGCAGCTTGCCTTCGCGCTGCGACGCTGAAGCATGCTCGCGTTGCATTTGTCGCTGCATCAGCATGCAGACCCCATCCTCCGGCCACTGGCTATTGTGACCCTGGCATCATGTGCCGAGCGCACTTCGATGGTGAAAGTTCGCAGCAGATGGTTCAAACTGCAAACTTCATGACGGCAGCTTGTTTTTGAGCATAGCTCGGTGTGCAAACCTAAACTTAGTCGCACTTGGGAGGTAAGTAGCAGGGAAGTCGATGGTAATCTGGCCTCTCAACACTTTGAACCTTCGAGCTCTCGGTTCACGAGGCTGAGCCCAAGGGGTTTGACCTTCGGGCCGAACCTAGGGTCACCCGCGGCGTGCGGGATCACAATTGTACATAGCCTGTGTCACTCTAGCTCGGCTGAAACAACGCATTTCGTCCAAAGCTACCTGTGACTTTACATGCACCTCCAGCTTGAAATGCTGCGCGAAACTTCAGCTTTATGTCTGAGCATTTGGGATAGAGAGTTTTGCCGAAGTCCGTGCACCCACGCCGGTGTTCCCTGTCAACTTCATCCCTGCAGCCCTGTCAACTTCATCCCTAGTCAACCCCTACGCCGCATGTTGTGAAGCAGGATGGTTACTAGTATCCCCAAAAGGATACCTATTGATCTGTGTTATATATAATTATTCACACTCACCAATGTTTATTAATATATAATTATTCACACTCACCAATGTTTATTACGAATCCACTCACCCTAAACCTTGAACCCTAAACCCCAAACCCTGAACCCTAAACCCGAAACCCCTGAACCCTGAGCCCTATACCCCTACACCCTACCTCACCTGCACCTTTTTCTCTTGAAAGAGACATCGGGCCTCCTGTGCTGGGGGAGGGAGACACGGTCTGGGTTCACGGGGTCCAAATACTAGGCTTTAGGGTTGAGGTTATAGGGTGTAGTTTGTCGCTGAATTTCTGAGGATCCCAGCGGCCCTGGGCGGAGATCTGACTCGCAGAAGCATGGGGAGAATGGGGAGAGGTCCCCATCTATTGGAGAGGTTCTTCAGCCACTGGGCTCCATGGGCCGCTTGGACGGCCAGAAAATGTGGGCCCCTTTTTCACGGTAGGCCCTTAGTGTAGGCCTCACGAAGCCGGCCCTAGTAAGCCTCGCGAAGCCAGGGCTCACGACTCAGACAACACACTCTAGAATCACTGGAAGTTTGTCCAAAACCCCCCAAGAGTCTACATGAGACCTGACAGCAGAATTTCAAGCTGCGGCAGATTTCTCAGAAGTTAGATGCATGCCAGCTGTATTGCTTCACCGAGATGCCTGAGGCACGTGAGGCGCGATTGAAAATAGCGCTATGGGCCTATCCAGCCACTGCGAATCCACGATGCTGCTGCAAACCCATCGCATGCGGAGAAAAAATGCCACGATGGCGTGGAAGTTTGTGCGGCGGAGGGAAACGCAACTCAGGGATTCATCGCATTCTGAAGGCAAGGTCCGGCGCGGCAATCATCCTGACTCCACTGCCATCTGATTCAAGCATCTCTGGTCGCCTCAACATTGTCGGTTCAAGCTTGTGCTGATTGCATCATGACACTCATTGTACACTGTAGCCGCACATAAGCAACTGCAACTTCTCCGATCACTCGTAATCAGTTCCCTCAGCTGCGCGGCAGTTTCTTTAAACTTCTTTTGAGATGTGGTCCGGGCGCTGTCGCTCGGCTCTGCACAGACTGCGCAGATGCGCAGCACAAGCGACAGCTGCTCCAGTGACGGACAACGTGGCTCCTTTTGCGACCCCTGTCATTGGACGTGCGCCGTGGAACGTTGATGCATCGAGCGATGGCTACAAAGAGCTGGCCAAAAGAAGTATTTTGCAGCATGGCTTCGTGCTGCTGCATGGTTTATTCCAGACGGATGAGCTCAAGAGGCTTGCGGGACCAGCCATGTCCAACACTGAGACGGTTCTGTCAACGTTGCATGCGAAGGGCGTGACTTTGCCGGTCGGCAGCCGGGCAGGCTTCCACGAGGCCAGTCGAATCAGCGCGTCTATTCTCCTACTTCGTTCGCTGGAGTGATTGTGTCATCTAAGTCAGATAATCATCCAATAGCCTTCAGGCCTTAAGGGTGCCCTGTTCTGTCGTTCCCGTTGGTATGGTGTGTAGTCCTATGCTTCCCCGGGTGCCCCCTGGGTGCCCCCTGGGTGCCCCCTGGGTGCCCCCTGGGTGCCCCCTGGGTGCCCCCTTTTTTGCCCTCAACATTTTTCTGAGGTCGTGCTCCGATCACCGGGTCGTTACGACGTCCCCTGTGACTTCAAGGAATTCCCGAACGAACTGCTGCAGAAGTTTGAGTGCATTGCCAGTGAGCTCCTCAACGACGGCGTCGGAAGTCCGAATTCTCCGAGCCGAGCCAGCCGAGCCTTCGCGGGCATCGTGCGCGCGGAGCCGGGCTCCGAGAGCCAGATTTGGCACGCCGACTCGCCCCATTTGACAAAGGAGCACAGCAGCCCAAACTTGCTGAACGTCCTGGTGGCAACACGGAATGTCTCGAAGCAGTTGGGCCCCACTGAGCTGGTGCTCGACTCTCATCGCCTCACCAACCACCTTCGCCCGGGCGCGCAGTTCTCAACGGAGCTCCTCTATCAGGACCCGAAGAACAGTCCAAAAGCCATCGGGGCTCAGGACCTTCCAGTCATCTTGGCCGAGATGGAGGCGGGCAGCGCGCTGATCTTCGACGACCGGATCCTTCACAGAGGGGGAGGCAACGTCTCTGCCGAGAACCGCGATGTCGTTTTCTTCTCCTACAGCCGGCCGGACTTCGAGCACTCCACACACTACGAGGCAGTCCGTTCCCTGAAGACCTACGACCACCGGAGCTTGGCCAAGGAGGTGCGACGCGAGTTCCCGGGCCTCCGAGCAGACGGCGACGTGGTCTTGGCGGACGGCGCAAGCGGATCGCAGCTGCACGAGTCCGCCATCCAGGCCGTGCAAGAGCAACTGACGTACGGCACGGCCAACATCGGCGGCGAGTACGACTCCAGCCGAAGGGCCGAAGCGGCCGTGTCCGGAGCGCGACTGGCCATGTCGGACTTCCTGACCTGCGACACCCAAGAGGTGATCTTCGGGGCCAGCATGACGAACTTGGTCCTGCACTTGGCAAGAGCCTTGGGCCCTGCCTTGGAGAAGGGCGGCAACTGGGTGCTGGACCCCATCAGCCACGGTGCCAACGTATGGCCCTGGGTGAAGCTCGCAGGCCGCTTGGGAGCCGAGGTGCGCTGGCTGCCGGCGGAGAAGTGCCGGCTTCAAACGGAGGAAGGCGCACTGGCGGCGGTGATCGACTCAAGCACGCGGTTCGTGGCCGCAGGCGCCGCCTCCAATGGAGTTGGATCCGTCCACGACGTCCAGGAGCTTTGCCGAAGAGCCAAGGCGCTGTCGCAGGGCAAGGCCTTGACGTTTGTGGATGCCCCATGGCGACATGTTTACGATCTTTTACGGCCTGCTGGTAACACAATGCATGTGCTAAGTAAAGGTATGCTTTTATTGACGCATTTTCTGCTATGCTTTTTGGGACATCACACACCCTTCTTGAGCCTTCTTGCTTTCGTAGTTGAGTTTTGGTTTGGCAGTTTTTTTTTCGGCTGCGATCTGCCCAAGTTTTTGGCATCAGCCTGCAATGTATTGGGCCGAGGCCGTGCATTATGCACCGCATGGCCGCGTCAACGTGCAGCGCATTGGCGTCTTGGTCAATTCAGCCACCAGTTCATGGCGAAGCCGCACAACGAATATGGGTCCAAGAGTAAGACTGAGTAAGAAAGTGAGGACACCAGTCCAGTTCGTGGCGAAGCCACACAATGCCTATAAGAGTAAGAATAAGAATAAGCAAGAAAGCGAAGAGTAACCCCAAGCTCTAAGAATCTAAGAATGAGGCTGCGACTTCTTGGCCTGCTCCCCTTACAAGTTCTTCGGCCCGCACGCAGGCTTCGCCCATGCCGTGAGCCATCGAAGTGCCCTGCACTCCTGAGTTGATCAGGCATGTTCTTAGATTTTCTTAAGGCAAGACGTGGCAAGACATGATGGGAGGCGTCCTCTTCGGACGCCGGCAGCTCCTGCAGACCTTGCCGGCGGATCGCCTGGCCCTTTGGTACTGAGCACAGCGACAGCACGCCTCATAGTCGACTGGGTTGTCATTAAATGCTGTTATCCAAAGAGTCCCTTCCAAAATCTGAGGGCACCCTCGATCTCTCAATCCAGTGTCTTGCGTTGAGCGTTGCCCCCCCGAGACTTGGTTGTACTCGCTGCTTGTAGGACCGCGTTGGCAAGATGACTAGTACTATTTTTTTCTATTCATCTTCATCTTCATATCCTGTTCCTATTCCACGGTCCTTGTGACCTTGGCCGCTTCGCAACAGTGACGGCTTGGTTCGTTCGGTTGACCCCGGGCTCCTTTTCTTGTATTGATCCTTTTCTTGAAGTCAGCAGTTTCATTTCCCAACCTAAGGGTTCCCCCGCGTACCCGCGATTCATGTAGAAATGCACTCACGCTTCACAGACTGGTCGAGGGCCCTCGGGCTGAGTCAAGGAGATCTTGCTGAGGAAAAGTCTGTCACTGTACTCGCAATGTACCCGCCTTGCCCGCCGGCATTCTCCCAGATCATTGTATATAAGACATCATACGAATCATACAGCAATGCTCAGCAACGTCGTTTCAAGGACTGCTCGGACGACTCCTTACCGTGCAGCTTGAACAACCACATGTCCCGATGGGAAGTTGGCACGCAGAACTACGAGGCATGGGCAGTCATGGGCACCGCATAGCAAAATGAGGGTTTGCGAAAATAAGGGACCCCTCATATAGACACCCCAAACAGTAGGATTCCCTTATAATGAGGACCCCAATAAGAGAGGAAACCACCAACTAGCAGATTCCTGGCACACTCAGACTTGTGCATTTTTTGCGAGATGTCGCGACATGAAAGCACAGCTCGGGTCAGGCTCTGTCAGGAGTGACTGCTGCCGCCGCCTCACTGAGACAATGAGCCGGCCCCGCAAGATTGCAGCTTATGGGCAGAAGTGCATACGGGCCTAAGGCGGTGAACTATTTGGCCGATTTGGGGCACCGCTTCGGTGGGGCCGCGCCATCCGCACCACGGGCAGAGCGCCTGGAAGCAGGCCCGGGAGAAACACCTGGTTCACTGCAGAACAAGCATGACGTACTATTACTGTTGCACAATGTCTTTGAACGCATTGCGCTATGATATCTGCTAGACATGTAGGACACCATCGAATTTGTACATATTGTATATAGGTATGCATACGTATCTGAATACACAGATACAAATAGAAATGTGCACACACATATTTCTTTTTATAAGTTGATGAATTCATGTCACTTTCATGCATTACGCCGTTCTTCGCAGTGCTTGTGCTTATGCGCCTGGGACTTGAGGCACGATAAGCTCGTTGGTCTTGTCTGTGTCGAGCTCCGTCCCCCTTTTGCCTTCTTTCATCTCTGCGCCAGCGAGGGCCTGCAGCCTTGCAGTTTGGGCCGCTCTCGCCTGCTTTTCTCTTTCCCTCGCAGCTCCGCTATCCTTGGGTGACACTCAACGTCCGCCAGGCATTCCTCAGGCAGTTCCCAGGCACTCCTCCAGTCTGCTGTCAACACCGTACCTCAGCGCCACCCCTGCAGTGGTTCCAGCAACAATCCCCGCATTGCAGAGCACAGCTCGCCGAAAGCTGTCGAATAAAACTTCGCTTTGAAGGATCCGCAAGGATGCGCCTGCATCCATCATGTGTGTAATACGCAGACTGATATCTCTATATATATATATACACATCACACTAGCATATATGTATACATACACTGTATAAATATAAAAATACATATATATATATATATATGATATACCTGATATACCTACATATATGTACGAAGGACCTTTATGTACTATTTGACGCCTTTAAGACTTTAAGTTGTTAAAATCCTTTGAAAATAAAGGCGGACTTGATTTTCGGAGGCCGGACCGGCGTTTAATTTGTTGAAACCCTTTCTAAAAATTTTCGAATCCTTAAAAAATGAAATGGCCGGGAACGGGCTCGGGCGAACACTGAATTTTGAAGAATCCGTAAAACAACTCACTGGGGCTGGCATGTATGTGTTTAAGGGTTTGTAACTATATAAAATGGCTCCGCTGGGCCCCTTTGAATTCTTTTGAAATCCTGCAAAGAATTCATGTCCGGGCATTTTATTGTTTGCGGACTCTGAAAATTTTACAGATTTGAAGATCTAAATGCGGGTCCGGCCACCGAAATTCAAGCCCCCATTTAATCTTTGAGGATGTTAACGCATTTCAAGGGCTCGCGTGGACCTTTACGTGCTTTACAACCCTTAAAAAACAGATGTGGGCTTGATTTTTCGGAGGCCGGACCCGGGTATAATTTTTTGAAGTCTTTGAGATTGAAATCATTTTAAAAAAATCAATGGCCGGGGATGTGTTTTTGAAGCATTTGAAAGAGTATGAAGCGCTCAGGTGAACATTGGAATTATGAAAAACCCTTCAAAGAGTTTAAAGGGCTCGGGTGGCCCTTCAAATTCTTTAAAGTCTTAAAACATGACACGGGGGCTTGATTTCGGAGGCCGGGCCCGCATTGTATTTTTCCAAAACCTTCAAAATCTTTAAAACCCTCAACAATTTCAATGGCCGGGCATTTAAGTTTTGCACGGTTTTAAAGAATTCAACGGCCTCGGGTGAACATCAGTTTTTGAGAGTCCTTGAAAATTTCATGGAGGCTGGCATTTAATTTGTTTAAGGATTTTAACAATTTGAATGGTTCCGGTGTGCCTTGAAATCCGTTATGATACTTTAAAACAATGGACGGGCATGAAGTTTGTTTAGGGATTTTCAACGTTTCAAAGGTTTTAACAATTCAAATGCCGGCCCGGCCTCCGAAATACGAGCCCCCTTAAATTATTTTCAAGAATTTGAAGGGCTCGGGCGGGCCTTCAAATTCTTCAAAATCCTTAAACAATTTCATGGGGGGCTGATTTTCGGAGGCCGGACCCGCGTTTAAAATGTTCAAAACCTTTAAACTCTGTAGAGCCTTCAAAAGTTGAATAACAGGGCATTTAATGCTGTAAGGATTTTAAAGAACTTGAAGGCCCACCGGGGCCATTTAAATTGTAACAATCCTTTACTGGTTGGGGCTGACAATGCCCGGCCTTTTCTTCATTTAAATGCAGGCCCGGCTTCCTAAAATCAGGCCCCCAATTTTCAGTTTTTGAGGGTTTTAACGGATTAAGTGGCCCACCCGATCCCTTCAAGTTCTTTCAAATCCTTAGCACATGATATGGGGCTGGCTTGAGGTTGAGGCCATGCTAGGGATTACAAAAACCTTTAGTTTTTCAGGTTTAGAGCTCACCAGGGTTTTCAGAGAAACCTTTCGTTTTTGAGGTTGAAGCCACGTATGGGTTTACAAAACCCTTTCGTTGTTGAGGTTCAAGGCCACGCCACGGTTTACACAAAAACCTTTCGTTTTTGAGGCTGAGGACACACTAGGGTTTACAGAAAACCTTTCGTTGTGAGGTTGAAGGCACGCATGGAACAACAAAAGAGAAAGTTAATAAACAAGAGAAAGAGAAAGACAGAGAGAAAGAGAAAGAGAAAGATAACTATAAAGAGAAAGAGAAAGAGAAAGGGAAAGATAAAGAGAAAGGGAAAGAGAAACAGAAAAAAAGACAAAGAGAAAGATAACGAGAAAGAGAAAGAGAAATAACGACAGAGAGCCTGGAAGTGTTTGTTGCAGCTAAGGGCAATCACCTAGGGTAGTTAGGCGCCGTCAAGTAGCCTCGCACACGAACATGATGATGATTGTTCGTGCTCTGCTTCTGTTGCCACTGATTGGCGCGGTACGCCAGCGAGGCACGCGCCCACCAACATCCATCTCTCTTTGCGTAGGGACCTTTTGTTGTGAGGCGATGCGCGTGATGGCAAAGGCAGCAAAACCGGCAAAGGTCAAGAGACCCTAGACGCATCTCAAAAGACCCCAGAGGCAACATAGGTTGAAGCAAGCGGGGAGCAGGGTGGGGAACGGGGAATGTAAGATGTGCAGGCCGTTGAGGTGAGGACTCTTTCTTTTTTGTATTTCTCTTTCTCTTCCTCTTCCTCTTCCTCTTCCTCTTCCTCTTCCTCTTCCTCTTCCTCTTCCTCTTCCTCTTCCTCTTCCTCTTCCTCTTCCTCTTTCTCTTTCTCTTTCTTTCTCTCTCTGTCTGTCTGTCTCTTTCTCTCTCTTTCTCTTTCTCTGTCTCTTTTTTTTGTCTCTCTCTCCATCTCTCTCCACTTGCCATTCATTCAAGAGGAAACGAAGAACGTCAAGGAGAAGAAGGGAAATGAAGGCAATGACAAGAGAGTTCTCCTTGCCCCTTCTCACTACCCTCTACCTCGGCCCTAATCTTGTCTGACTGAAGAGGAAGGAGAAAGAAGAGCAAGGCAGGAGAGAGACGAGACGTGGATTGATTAACATTGTTCTGGGGGGTTCTGGGAGGTTCGGATACAGCAACACTGGATCGTGGATCTCGTGTCCCTCTTCTTCGTCTTCCTTGTGTCTCTTTCTTTCTTTCTGTCTTTCTGTCATTCTTTCTTTCTCCCTTTCTTACCTTGATCTCGCCCATTCTCCGTCGCTTTCTCTTCCGCCCCTTCCCTCTCATCGTTCCATGCTCTACCCTTGCCTCCTTTCAAACCAATAAGCGAGAGAATAAGTAAGAGAGGAGGAGAGGAGAGGAGGAAGCAGGTGGCGAAAAGGACAAAGCCTTTCTCTCCGTCTCATTTGCGTGTGTCTGCAAACAGCAGTTATTTAAACACGGCAGAGTGCATATCCAAAGCGATGCGCACGAAACCCTTACTCCAGATTTATCCGGGCACGGACTCCTTGCCGCATCCAGGCAGATCTTCCAACCCGTGGTAGCATTGTCTTTGCAACGGGTCGTCAAGAAGTGACATCTGCCGAGGCTATCTTTCATCATTGACATGTCGTGTGACGAAAGGCCTGACGGTCAGTCATCTCAAAACATTCAGAAAGACCAGCATATCTGCATCAGGCCAGGATACATCGCAGGAGCTTCGACGAGGTGTCCAGGAGCCTGTGTTCGTCTCTGTCATGTGGTATCATCATCGGAATGAATTGGGCCTGACTGCCGGAGGATGGTCACGCCGAAGGTGTTCCCGATCTTTGGGACTGTCGTTACAGTCTCGGGTCGAGGAGCCTCGCCGCGGAGCTATGCAGGAACAGCTGGGAGGCATAGCTCCTTCTTGTAAAGATTGGTGTGAGCAGGGTCAAGGATTGGCTTGCAGGTGCACAAGATCATCCACCCTGTTGGCCTTAGCCGACTCCATCAGGATCAGGCGCAGAGGCTCCTGAGAGCATCCGCTGCAAGGCATTTTGATTGCCGACGCTTGCAGCTCCAATCCAAAGCTGTTCTTGTCCGGGTTCAGGCCCGTTCCATCCTGGAATGTAGCACGAGAGGTGGCAAAGAGTTCCACTGTGTGTTCAAGACCGAGGCGGGGCCTGCTAGTCAATCTTCTCGGGAGCGGCCCTGCGCCCAGGGCCGCGCGAAAGCAAAAGACGCAAAGGACGAAGCGGCCAGCAAATCGCATCCCTCAGGCCCCTGTGCTCGAGCCTTCGCGGATTTCCTTTGCGCGTCCCCCGCCAGCAGGAAAACGAAGCCTGCCCAGAAGCACTCCAAGCAGGACTTTAGCAGGACTGTTGTGGAGGCTTGGCCGAGCGTCTTCAATATGCGTCGTTCCGCGCACGCGCTGGGAAATTTTAGGTTTTTGGATTTCCAACAATCCAAGCTTGCCCAGACATTCTCCCAGCTTGTTTAGATTTTGGATATGTGGCTGTCCCGGCTAATCATTATCACGAATCCAAAAATACAAAATCTCCACGCCTTCCTAGGTGTTCCCCCCAGATTTAGGATTGTGGACTTGGGGATTTCTTAAGTCTTCCGCGCTGTCAAAAGTGGAATGCTTGCGAGACTATTTGCAAATCGCGCGGACAGTTGCTTGCTGAGTTTCCGCTTTAAGCCAGGCAGTCTGTGTTTCAAAATTCATTTAAGCATGCAGCTTTCCCGGCCCAATATAGATTTCAAAACATAGTTCAGATAAACGAATTTGACCGAACTCTAATTCAATTGTCTTGCATAGTTGTTTTGAGCATTGCATTGCGGGGGGGGGGGGGAATCCTTCAAGCAAGCATCTTGACTGAGACTTCGAAAGTATAAGCAACAGTAGCAACACGACAAGTATCATAAGAAAGTCGAGAAGAGGGTTTAGCCGAGTTCTATGTTTTAGATTATGAAATCCGTACAAATCAAACATGACATAACACGAATACTTTAAAGAGTAGTAATAGACAAAATTCTTGTATTTGAACAAGCTTGTCTTGATATTTGACTTTAGCAAACAAAGGGGTTGCCAAAAAGTGTCAAAAGTTTGAGTACATGGATGCGTTTCCAACGCGAACGAAGCTTTGGGCAAGTCGGTTGAATAACAGCCACAAATCTATTCAAATGGATGCATCTTCAACAGCAAGGAATAAGTAAATCTATGTAGCTGTAACGCCAGATCTGTGGAAATCTGATATGAACCAACTGGTAATAACAGGTACATAAAGATCCATGCCGCATATTTCCAAGTAAATACAAATATACTTTAAAAACAAGTGTATATATATGTGTGTAATTTTATACATCCATGAATTTCTCCAGACCTGGGCAGGGTGGCATGCCATCGAGGCCCACGAGAAAGAGCTGAAAAACAGCTTCTTGGTCCTCGTCTCGGATTCCGGAATCGTGCGGCGCTTCTTCGCTGATGCGTGAGTGGGGCCAAGGAAGGCGTGAAGAGCCTTCGGAATGTCCACGTGCAGGGTGCTCATAGGGAAATCTTCACATAGTAAGATAATGTCTTGCTGTGTTCGGCTGTGTCTTGCTGTGTCCTGTGACCCCAGGCTGGGTGAAGAGGACCCTGCGCATCGTACAGCCACCTTCGCGGTGTCCAAGGAGGGCCTCAAACCGCAGGACCCAGTAGACATGTACTTCTCAGCACCAAAAGGGTTTAGGGTTTAGGGTTTAGGGTGAGCTCTCTTCCACATTCCACAAGCATGCGCAGGAGCTGGCCAGCAGACTTTGCAAAAGGCGGGGGAGGTCAAAAGAGGTGTTGGGGTTCAGGGGAAGAGATTACGTTGGGCAACCGACAACCGTTAAGCCCCAAAAGGACTGACTGGAATGAGAAGAAGCCCAGAAAACAAGACCGAGTGGCACAAAGCGACCAGTTCTTGTCCATGCCGCCTTGAACAGGGGGATCTGGTGCACCGCTGGCAACCACTATGCCGGGTTCTGGGATGAGCATAGCGGTGGCCTTGCGAACAACGACGAGGGCATGGCTCGTGCCTTTGCTAAACTGCGACTCCTGAACTTTTGATAATCTTAAATCCCGGCACGATTCCCACAAGGCAGCGTGTGTGCGGACTTACGGGATGCGCATCTTATGGGGGAGTTTCACAGTCGTGCCTTGGCTCACTGAGGCTTGGGCTTGTTGCACTACAACACCCTCACCGAGGCGCAGATGGAAGAGAGTCTCAAAATTCAGAACTCAGACCATTTTCACAAAAGCTGCATGCGACAGATTGTTATTGGGAGAACTTCGTGGGGCAAGCCAGGTGGATCGAATCCTTGCAGCACTCGAGGACGCGTGAGGCGTTCCTTCCCCAGAAAGCAAGGGTCACTAAAAGGCGACATGTTTCCTTCCAGCGTTCGGGCGCACTTGCAGTGCTCGCCGTCCTCAACAGCGTACCCGCGGTTTTGCATGGGAACAGCTATGCTGTCGCCTTGTGTTTCTGCATTGCCTAAAATTTTGCAAACGCTTGCCTGCGACATCGAAATCGTCGTACAATCGGGAGTCGTGCAAGGGCAGCAGCAGGTTTGTGCCGAAAGTCCGCCAGCACGGTGTCCACTCGGCCCAGCCCTCCCAAATTTTGGTTGCTGACCGCGAGTTCGCCAAACAGATTCAGATCCCGCGGGGGAAGTCTTGGAGTCCTATCGAAGTCTTCGGCGAAACATCGCAAGAGGTCAGAAGGTCGGACTGCCTTAAAAACCCCCTGTGGCTTGATCCTCCAAAAGACTCAATCCTCTGCACGTCATTCAACTGAGACTTCAGCAACCTGTTCAAAAAGCTCGTATTCAAACTCACAGGCTGTGCTGAGAGCCACGCTTACACAAGTGCCGCCCGAGGTCTCCGGGCGCGGGGCGGGTTGCGCCCCGAAGCTGACAAAGGCGCGGAATTTTAAGACTTACGACCTCTTTGTTTGTCTTTAATTACTTCAAGAATGACTTAAATTGTCATCTTGACCGCCCCGGCGAACTCGGGGGCCAGGCCGGACAGTCGTGCAAAAAGAGACTGAGAGCTCCTGCATAATTGGGTGCGTCTTAGCAGTATAACAGGTTCAGGGGCAAGTGCCATATAGCACAGAGAGCCTGTGCCAAAACTGGTTTGGGTGGTCGGCATGTAGGGCAGGGGGCACCGTAGGGTTGATGTTAGGTGGGATTTCTGAAGCTTGAGAAGAGATGTGTGCTGCCAGAATTCAGGGTGTATAACAGCAAAACTAAAGATGTGCCAGATGTGCCAGAAGCATAGAAAAGGACACTGCGCATCCCTCCCAAAAAAGCCACAAAGCCGAGTTATGTGTTTGGCCACACTTCGGATTCGAAAGATCAGGCTGTTTACAACAGACAAGAAGTCACACAAGTCACGACGCATGCTAATTGTCTCACAAGGAGTTCGCATTCCATTGGACTGCAAGGAGCTCAAACTGGCCAACTGGTCCGAATCAACTGAACCCCCGTCACTGCTCTTGCCAGTAGTCGCTCCGAGCTTTGCCGCTTCGCTGTTCCATGTGGCATCTTGCAATTTGAGTGAAGTAGCCTCCGCGCAACGCCACCCCAACACAATCCCTATTCGCCCTATCCCGTGTTTTACCGTAACTCGTACAATACGTATGAGGGTGAATAACCTCATGTCCGCCTCTGACTTTCTCAGTGGGTTTCCTGACTTTGCAATTCCCGCTTCCTGAATTCCACTTGCTGTTTTGGCGCCCGCGCGCACGCAACAGGAGCGAATGATGCCAAAGCTTTCGTAGCTTCGCCAAAGGATGCAGTTGAAGTGCAAGTTATGTGAGTGCCCGTGTCTTCTAAGCAAGCTTGTCATGCTGCATGTGCATGTTGGCAATGCTGAGTGTTTACCACATCGACATCCAGCACGGCGAATGACTGAAACCGACAAAAGACTCACAGCTCCTGCGGTGTTGGGCGGGTCACACTTTCTTACGCTACGCGACCCGCCTCGGCCGGGGCTTGCACCTCGGCGAGGCCCCCAACACAAAGGGGGCGAAGGGTTCTCATAAAGAGGAAAGGGTGGGGTGGGTTGGCAGGTGGCCCCTATGGCTAGGCCCAAATGACCCCTGGTCTTGCATTCCAGGCAAAAAATCAGCGGATTGGTTGCTCGGCACGTACTTGCTCGAAGGTTCATAAGGCCAGGGCCCAATAGTCCGACCACGCGGCCTCCTCTCTATCTTTCGCCATTGCCAGAGTGTAGCGAGTCAAGCTGGGGGCTTTCAAGTTGGTAACATTCCACAACCTTGCACCATAATTGCCATGCCTTTCACGCAGCTGTTTGTTTTTAGGGCCGATCGAGTGCCCCGAGTCCGGGTGGGCCCGCAAGGGACATGCGGAATCTGGCGTGCCCCTCAGGGACGTTTCTTGGGACAGTTGCGAGCCCTGTTTCTTTTTGCACCATAGAAGCTGGCTAAGCTGGCCGGAACATGACTGGGCACGCTAACACGCTCATGGTGATTCGTAAGACGGCCTTCGCGCTATGTAGGGGCCGCTGCCTGGCGCAGAGCGAAGTCCCAACAAAAAAGAGGGAAGAACTGAAGAGCTGTTTACGTCAACAGAAGCGAACTGCAGGCATGGCTTCTTCCGGCACCCTTTGTCTTTACCCTGGCGAATGCTCAGGCGCCGTGCCATGCCATGTTGCAAGTGATGTGATCTGAAGTGATCTGACGTGGTGTGGGGGGTTCGTCCGCGTCTTTCCATGAATGTCCCTAAAAGGGGCAGAAGCCGCGAGCTCAGTGACACAAGGACACAAGGACAGCTTGCCAATCGGGCGTTGTTTCGAGGGTTGCAGGGGGCAGCTGCTCGCAGCTGCTTCCAAATTAAGGCAAAAGATGGAGGCGCCAAAGTGGCTGGACGACGATGCCAAGGCGGCACCTTAAATCTGCCACGAAGCGCTATCTTGTGAGAGTTCAGAGGCATACGGTTTTTGCTGCCCCCCCTGAATTGTCAGATCGTGCGCGATGCTTCCTCTGTTGAGAGCTGTGGGCCCCCCTCTGCTGCCCTGCAGAGGATCTCTTTCACGACATCGAGAATGATGAGAATCCGCACAGCGACGCTGCCTGCGAGAGCCGCGAGGCTGGTGTGAACAGACTGGAAAGCAAGAGTACAGACAGAGCTTCAACAGTGCGGCACTATTCTTGCGTGTAGCATGTGGAGAGCAAAGAGCGCACCATAGAGAGAGCACCTTCTTTTTCCTTCTTCAATCGCAGTCTTACAAGAGAGAGGGAGGGAGAGAGAGAGAGAGAGAGCCTGCGCCGCTGCACAGAAGCTGCTGAAAGCGATGGCTGGCAAAGGCCGCCCCCTCCGTTCATGCTGCCTCTTCCAAAACAGGCATCGAGCTACCCCACACAGGTAGGTCATTGTCACTTGCCAGGTGACTCCAGCGCCTCCAGCTATCGAGCCCGCACTCTCTTAGGCAGGGTACACGTTTCTGGGGGCCACTTCTCGCGGCTTCTCGTGCGGGTTCCTCTTGCCTAGCCTGTGTGCAGCTGCTTTCCGCTCAGGTTGCGGCCTTTGCGAGGTGAAGAAGGTCCAGACCCATCTTGTGACTTCAGAGCAGATCTGTTAAGGCAGGCAAGAGCGCGTCAGGCGAATTGGGTGATGGCCAAGCGTCGGCTCGAGAGCGCCATCTCTGAGATGAATGTGCCAAGTGAGGAGGCCTCGCCTTGGCCCGGGGTGGGGGAGGTATTCTGGGACCACTGTCTGAGGCCTCGCTGAAGTTGCTCTCTCTCTTTCTCTCTCTTGTTGCGCTTTGCTGTGAGTTGCTCTCTCTCTCTCTCTCTCTTGTTGCGCTTTGCTGAGAGCTGAACTGTCTGGCAACTGCATTCTCCTGCTGCGCCTTTGCGCTGAGATGATGTTAAAGAACCCGGACCTCGCGCCCATCGCCCTCACGCCACTCGGGCAAAGAAAGTTGGCCAAGATTTTTGACGTAGTTTGAGGTCCAAGGAGGTATCAGGCTCAGGAGGGTTCACGGTGCTGTCCAGGAAGCAGGCGGCCGACTTCTTGAGGAAGTTTGATCTCACCCAGGCCAGTGAAGGGTCACCGGACCGTGCCAGGAACGTGCACGGAAAAAAGTTCCGAAACGTGTTCCGCAAGCTGGCAATGAGAGTGCAAAGCAACGCGTGCACTAAATCAGAGTGCAAATCAAGTATCAAATATGCGCAAAGTCTGATGCGGAGGCTGGAACTCAGCTGCGGCGGTGTCGGGAAGTCCTGGAAAGGAACGTGAAGACGGTGCCTCCCCCCCGACCCTTATCCTTCCCCCATATTCTAAATCATCCATCCCGACCTGGGGTCTGGAGAGAGAGAGTCTTGCTGTCAAGTTTGCGACTCTTTTGCGCAAACATGGCGCTCCACGCGTCAAAGTTTGCATTTGTCTCATCTTGGACGATGGTTCGGAGCCTCTGGGACCCACATTTGGCTTGCCTTCAGCTCTGTGATGCACAGCTTTCGACACGTAATGCTGAGCTAGGATAGGCACAGAAGGGTACAAATGTCAGTATCCTATGCTACCCTCCTTGGCAGGGCAACATCTGTATTATAGATGCCGCCGAGCCACACGCACGTAGCGCATCAGCCTGAGCATTGCAGCATCAGCCCCAAGCAGGTAAACGGATATGTTAGCCTACTAGGGACAGTCTCGGCGACCATCAGCACTACCAGAAAGTTCCCACTCCGATGGAGATTGTTCAGATCTCCGGGCAAGTCGGGCAATGGATCCCAGAAAGCGCAGGCGTCTCGAAGAGACGGGTCAGGCAGCCGACGACGGCTTCCTCGCCTTCGACGATGGAGAGAGCGAGGAAGAGGAGGAGGAAGAGGACCAGGAGCGGGAGGAGCCTTTGGATGACATGGAAGGGAAGGAGGCGACGGCTCAGCCCCTGGCCCTGGACTGGTCATGCAGCGATCTACTTCTGGAGATTCGAGGCGACGCGCCCAGCCAGAGCTTCGGTAGCAGTGGCCGCAGCGGTCAGAGCGGGCACGGCTCGCGTGGCTTGCGCGTCGGCACCTCGACGCCGGTCTGGGCGCTTGGCCGGGGTGTTTCCCCAGCGTATCAGGGCCGGCACAGGTGGAAGCTCCGCGTCCTCCGCCTCGCAAAGGACTCCTCGGAATCTGCAGCATCCCCAGAATCGCCACCTCCGCCGCCTCCGTCGCTGCTCTTCGGAGTCCTGGCCCAGTTTCCGGGCGCTCGCCCGATGCCCAGCGCGGCCTTAGGAGACCCGGCAGGGGAGGGGGTCGAGTCCGAAGAGCCGGCGCTGGCGCTGCTCGCAGCGGCTTGGCTTGGTGTGGCGCCTCTTTGTTTGGCAACCCGCGCAAGTGCACATTGCCTTCCGCCTATGGGGCCCACATGATCGCATATGGGGATGTTGTTCTGCGCATACTCTTTGCACAGTACCCGTATCAAGTATTGCGGATTTATGTGCATGTTGTACTCAACCGCCCCCAGGACACCGGAGATCAGCTCTTCTCCTCGAACCTTTCTGCCACTTTGCTTCGTGCTCCGTTGCTCTCCGGACCTCTAAAGGCGGGCTCACATCACAGTTAGGATCACAGACCACGACGCTGTGTTGCGGCCAGCAGAACTCTGTCAGTTCAGACTTGAGAGGAGGCGGACCTGATCGAAATCACGCACGACCTCGACCGGCAAAGCCTGCGCTTCCGCGTCGAAGGTGACTCGAAGCCATTAAGCCATCATTAAGCCACTTGAAGCGCCTCGAGAAGTCACCAAATCCGCACAAAACCCCAGCATGAGGGCGCACCTCTCTCCGTTCTGCAGGCGGAGCGGAGGGTGAGGCCAAGCGGCTGCCCCTCCGCAGGGCCGGCCGCGGCACCCATGCGTCGCAGCGGCTACGGGAGACGGCTCCCAGGCGAAAGCAGAGCGAGGAAAGGGAGAGACGACCGGGGGTTGGAGAGTCGATCTCTGGCCTAACAAAGTTACGTCATTTCCTGAGGCTTACTATCCCTTCATTGCCATCAGGGCCGGTGCAGAAGTGGAGCTGCTCGCCCTGTACAATGCATCACGTACTCATGCAGGCTCCTTCTCACTGTGGTTGATGGATGTTTCGTCTGTCGGAGATGGCGATGTAGTGTGAGACTAGTGCAAAAGAGTTGAGTGTGCCGCGCGGCGCACTTGGCACAGCGGTTTATGCCGAAGGCCGGTCGATAGGTTTCGTGAAAGTTCCGTGAACCTCGTGTGCCCTGGCACTTGCGCACAGCACGGCACACAGCTGTGCCTCGCTGAGTCTTATTAAGCGTCTTCAGCATCCGTCATGTCCGTCGTGCTGCTGCAGTAGGACCTCCGTCGTAGGCAGGATCCCAGAGCCCAGGCTGCTTGACCTTTGCCCAGCACCATCTCGTCCAAGCGTCCCACCACCCGAGGCCCAACAAGGGGTTTGCCTTTTTGTTTGGGGGGGGGGGGGGGGGGGTTTCGTTCTGGGTCCTTCAGGGCGGGGAGCATGGAAGGGCTGTTGGGGGGCCGGGCCGTAGACGCAGGTATCTGCGGGCATCTGCGGGCTGAGCGCCAGGTGCTCTTGTTTGGTTTTTTCTTTTGCAGATCTCGGAAGCCAACGAAGGCCGTGATCTTGGTGGGGCCTCCGGGAGCCGGCAAGTCGGCCCGCCTGCCCAGTGGGCGCTGCTTCTCTCTTGCGTGCTCTTCTTGACGTATCGAAGGTGAATTTGTGAATTCCGAATTGAACTGAATGGGGCTTCGAGGCCTGGGCACGGCGCCTCCCGGGCTTCCAGGCGCAACGGGCGCGCCCCGTTCTTCCCAGCAAAGCGGACACTTGTGGGACCCCCCACGACTCCACGACAGTTGCGGGAGTTGCGGAGTGAGAGTGACGGCAGTGACAGGTGCTTGGAGCTGAGTGGCTGCATCACCGGGCCACTTTCTTGGGCGAGGCTTCGGCGGCTTCGGGGCGTTTTCGAAATCAAGAAATCGCAGGCATGCGGCGTAGTAACATGCAGCAAGGACGTGCAATCCTGGTTGCGGAGGCTTGGACGGAGCCAAAGGGTGCCCCCGCCCAGACGCCTCCGTCTGAGCTGGGTGAACTGGGTGAGCTGGGGGACGAGGCTTGAGTGACATGCCAATGACTGCGAGAGCTGACTGCAAGAACCATGGGGAAGCTGTGTGGCGCGATGTTTGCAGGGTCGGAGACGCTTTGCCGAGCGCTTGCTACAAGCATTCGGAGCTCAGGAGGCTAGTAGCTTAGCTGGCTTAGTTGCCAGCTGATGGCAAGTCGCTATGGGCACCGTGCTACGTAGTTCTTCTGTCATTATCTCGATTGAAGGAAGGCCAGACGAGCCCAGCAAGTCCGCCGCAGGACATGCTGTGTGAACCCACATGCCATGAGTGCCATGAGTGCCATAAAGTGCCATAAGTGCCATGAGTGCCATATGCTGAAACACAGGCATTGCTTCATTGTAAACGCTGCTTGCATCGCCTCGGCCCCCCGGCCCCTTTGGCTCCCTAGTTTTCTGTGACACCTGCTGTGACCCTGAAGCCTGCGCGGCATCTTTTGCCCAATGTCCCGCATCGTTGCAGCTCTTTGCGCAGCCTTCGTCCTTAGCTCTGCAGAGAGCGCCCCAGCGGCAACAGAAGAGGTGGGGCGGGATGTCATGGCCAAGATGCTCGAACCGGCAGCGGCAGCAGCATCAGCAGCAGCAGAGGCGAACGTGGATGCCACGCCGGAGAAGGACGTCTCAGCATCAGCATCAGCATCTGCGCCCATGGCCGATCAAGTCGCCGCTGTCGTGAAGAACATGGATGCACAGATGGCGCAAGCCCAGGCTCTGATCGATGCCTCCATGGCTAAGCTCGATACTATTGCCGCGCAGATTCCTACGATTCCGGGGCAGATAGCGGCAGCTCAGGCTGTGAACAACGCGGCACAGGTGAAGAGCCTCGAGCAGCAGGGGGGGCAGCTTGCAAAGTCCCTGTGTGTCGCAGCTTCGGAGTTCAAGCAGGGTGAAGAGTTGGCGAAGGTACTGACTACCGGCGTCGAGCACACGATGACTCACTTGGCCTCCCACGTGCTCAAGGGTGCAGCGGATCTTGCGCCGTATATGACCCAGCTCAAGGCCACGGCGATGAGGGGCGAGGAGCTCGCTGCCAAGGCAAAGGCTGTCCACCCGATCGCGGCCGCCTGCCTTCCGCCGAGCCAGCGAGCTAATGCAGCTAATGCGAAGGCCGACCCGGCCTCAGCTCCCATCACCAAGCTCTTCGCCGCCAGGCAGACGCCAGGCCCTGCCACTGCGTTTCACCTGCCCTCGGCTCTGCTCGGCGCCTTCCTCGCCTTCGCCGGCATGGCCGCCGCCTTCGCGGCTCTGGCTTTCCGCCGTGCCCTCCTCCGCCCCAAGGATGACCGATCCTTCGAACTGGTGGGCCGAGATGTGGCCTAGAGGATGGGGGGCATTTTGGCCTCGGTGTAGATCTCTTGTTGCTGGTTCCCATCGGAGAATCATGATCGTTTCTATCAGCATAATCATCTATTATGTTAAAACCTTTTTCTCACACTGTCTTAATTAAGCATAAACTTCTGTACCGTCGCGGGCAGTCGTCTCCCAGGAACCAGCTGGTATAAGACATCTGAGACATCTGTCGCGTCCCCTACATTCCTAGAGACTGGCCGTGCTAGGGACAATTCAGTGGGGATCTGTTCCCGCCTTTGAAGTCTCCAGGCTGCTGCTTCATAGTTATTCTTGAGCAATTCTGCAGGTTCAGCGCACGTGTGAGTTCCTTACTGTGCCCAGAGTCATTCGGGACAGGTCTCTTAGCGGAGCGAGAAGCGCGACAGCTCTAGATTTCTTTTGGCTTTCTAAGTTTCAACGGGACTTCGAGACACCCAGCACAAGCTCCTGCGGTGCATTTCTAAGTTTCTCCCTTGTCTTCCGGCCGTCACCAAGCCGATGAGCCTGGGCTGGTCGCATCACGAAACTGCAGAATGAAGAAGAGATGAACAACATGCTTCTGCGGGCGGTCTTTGGTTTGGTGAGCTTGCTCTCTGTTGAACCTGCCTAACCCTAAATCTCTAAAGCTCTAAACCCTAAATAGCTGAGATCCTTCGATGAGGCCCTAAAAGTTGCTCAGCTGCAAGCCCTAGAGAGGCGTTGTGGTTTGGAGAGGGGGTTCAAGGTCATATCCTAAACCTCTGATGCCCTCCCGGGGCCTAGGGAAATCGGTGAATATTGCCCTGAGTTCAGCTGAACTTGAAGGCGTGGACTTTACAGCGTGCCCGCGCTCTTCTTGCATCTGTGGCCCGGCATACAGAGATGGCAGACTGACCAGATCAAGCCCAATCCTGAATCGTTACAAGAACAAGTAAGGAAGGGACAGATTGGGGATTCGAAACAAGCCAAGGTTTTACACAGCTGGGCCTTCACAGCTGCAAGTTTCATTTAAAAATCATTAGAAGTTCAGAACAAGCTAAAATAGTTCAAGTTCCTTTGCCGAAACCGAACTGAGATCGGGTAAAGTTAGGTTACTGTACTGGAAATTTTGTCAACAATCCCAGTTCAAAGCAACGACAATTACAAAACGATTGACAAATGGCATCGCAACGTCTCCGAGAATCCCAGTGTTTCCGGGGGCTGAGGAGCTGCCCGAGCTGCTGCGGCGTGCAGCGGCCCGGCGCAGCCGCGTCGTGGCTGATGACTGTCATCTCCAGGCCGCGCTCGTGCCAGTTCGGTGTGCCACACTTAGCTGCTTTTCTACGCAATCCTCCCGAAGAAGAGTAGGCGTTAGTTGATGTTCATGTTGGTTGAGATGTAGCAGCCAGCTTTGTGTCGCGGAATGGTGCAACTGCGGTGACGGTTGGCAACAGTGTTCATGTTGGCAACAGTGTTGCGAACGACACGCAGGCAGTAGGAAGTGTATGGCATAAGAAAAAAAAGGTTTCAATGTCAACTTCCACTCCATTCTTGCTGCCTTGCTTGTGGGTGCAATGTGCTTCGTTCGGTTTACCCCCATCTTCGGGAAGGCAAGCCGTCGACTGGCCCTCCGCAACGCCTTGCAGCACTTCCCGGGTCAGGCACGGAGCTCAACATGCAGCACTGATACTCTGACATTCGCAAGGCTTAAATCGATCCTTAAACCGTTGCTTGTTTGTGTGCAGCATGTTCGAGTTGTGACACACCATCAAAATGAACGGTACATGTCGCCGCTTTTCACAGCGATGCACAACGACGTTGTGCGTGCACGACGTATTTGAGATGCGACTCATGGTGCTATGGTGTTAAGGTTCGCTGGGTGATTGTCCTCCCAGACACGGTGAGCGAACTTCTTCGAAGACGCAACGCTGGAAGCCCGGTACATCCTGCTACGGACAAGTACTGTAAAATCCTCAAAGAAAGGTCAATGTCAAAGAGCACCGTCGTCTGAGTCGTAAGCACCGGCACTCATCTAAATGCCAGGAAGCTTTGGATGGAGGCCAAGCCGCCGTCTGCAGCTCAGCTGCCCACTGTTTGCTACGGTTTGGCTACGGGCCATGAAGCTATGTTGAGGGCCCTGGCAAGCCCAAACGGTTCGTTCTCCGAAGTTTTTTTGAACCTTACAAGGCAACGTTCCGCAACAGCGCGCGGAGTGCCACAGCATGCGCTTTCAGGACGAATGGTCGGGCGCGTCGCTGCCCGTGGACTCCATAGATGGCGACGGGCTTCACGGGCTTCACCGCGTGGCTCACGTGGAGTACGCAGAAGGCCCCCTGTGGCCGACTTTCACACGCACTCGCGAGTCCTCAAGCAGTCTGCAAAAGGTCATGCCGCCATGCCCCCAAGACAAGAGATCCTAAGAGCCTCTTACAGACCCCCGCCCTGAGACCTCGGACTATGGCCACCCTCCCTTCGTCAGATCTTGCTTCTCAGCATGTGGGCGTTGAGGCCGCAACTTGGAGGTCTTCCAGAGCTGGCTCATGCTGGGCGCTGAACACGGTGATCACGGTGAGCGCCAACCTCAGACTCAACAGACAAGTCCAAAATACCCCCAAGTTTCCTGAATGGCTCAAGAACACGTCAAGCTGCTCTCAATACTTTCTGCGAGAATTCGCGAAAATACTCGAAAACACCCCTCTTTGCAGGCCTCGGAGCCACGACGGACCTGGCAAAGCCGATCGAGAGGCAAGCCGCTCTTTTGCAGCGCGTCGCAGACTCTTATCAGAGCCTCAGGAGATGCGGGAGATGCAGGGCTTCTTTCAAGCCTACGAGACCAGGTCCCCCCCCCCGCATCGGCAAAAATGAAGCGACAAATGCATCCTAACCCGCTGCCTTGGAGGGACTTCCTCAGCACGGAGGGCACCCGACGCTTCTGAGCGGACCACGCGCCGGCGCCAGCGCGGCGAACCGGCGAATCGAGCTGCTTCCCTCAGAATGCTTCCCAAAAGTCTTCTTCCCCGCGATATGGTGCTTCGGAGTTCTCACCTGTTCTCTGGCAATTGTTCTCTCGCAAGCCTCGAGCGAAAGGCATGCCTCTGGAAGCTATTCTTACGCCTCGTGCGTCCGAATCCGCCCCCGCCCCGCGCAGGTGCTGAAGAGAGTCCATCAGCAGATGAGCCAAAGCGGCCAGGCGCAAGCAGGGAGGGAAAGAGAGGGAAAACAGGTGCGTCAGTTTTTTCAATGATGGACGGCACACGACTCCACACACCACACGGAGAGAAAGGCTCTCCCTCTCTCTCTCTCTCTCTCTCTGTTTTGGCTTCGCGAGCTCTCAACGCTTGAAAAATCGAGTTCTCGCGCAGAGACTGCAGCGCAGGCAGTTCCATTGGAGAAGTTTGTCGAAGAGATCCCAGGCGCCGCGGCTTTCTTCCTTGCTCATGTGTGTGCCATTCCCTGCGAGCGAAGAGTTCGCAGAGAGAGCACAAACTTCGTTGAAATGAGAGTTTTCAAAAGTTTTCCCGGTTTTAAGAGACTTCCAAGTGCCCAGGCCTTGGGAAGTCGGGGCAGTTCCTTCCGTCACTGATGACGCAAGTCCCTGGACTCCGCGAGGCTCAGAGCCCACAGCGAAGAAGGGAGTTAGAGAGAGAGGGACAGCGAAAGAGAGCATACTTCTTTTGAAGGGGGGGGGGGGGGGGGGGGGGAAGGGGGGGGGATTCTGACCATTCTTATTCGTCTGATACTTCAGCTCAGTGTGCATCTGTTGCCTGTTTCTTCTTTTGTCCTTCTTTTCTTCTTCGCAGGTCTTCGGCTTCATGGAGGTGGTTGACACCACCTTGGATAGCCTGGACACACAAGTTGCAGCAGGGCTCCGAGAGAGGGCTCAGGTATGCTCAGGTCTGAGTATGTCTGAGTCATCTGCCACAGTCGCAGGTCATACTCGGCGACAGACTTGTCTAGGATTTTTTTCACACAACGTCGTCACACCGGAGCTCGGAAGCGGTCGGCAACGGAGTGGTGCAACAAGTTGAAAGCAACGGAAGGAACCTCAGAACACCGAATCGACCAATGCTGACTCGACATGCTTGCATCACCCGTGGGCAAGTAGAGGCATCACTTCGATTTTCGCACGTTCTCGTCAACAAGAAGTGGCCTTGGAAGTGGGCAACGTGTTTTCTCGCTGGTATGGACACTACCCGGAGTTTGCACACGAAAGCCCCGGTTGCATCTTGCTTTCTGGCACAACACAGGAGAGGTGCCGTGAGATGTCCCACAGTGCTGAAGAAACGCCAAGTAAGGTAATTGATCCAATGCAGAAGTCCAAGAAGCTCCGCCTGGATGTCAGCAAGGCAGGGACTGCTTGTTGTTGGACTGCTACGGCTGCGACACAGTCCTCCGAGTCAATGCTGCCGCCGCCAATGTTGCCAATGTCGCCAGGGCAAGAGCAAGACCGGGGGCATGCTGTACGTGCCTTGCCTTGCCCAATGACTCGCCAATGACATCCAATGCCATTCATTATATACCTTATTCCCCCCCCCCCCCCCAGGTTTTAGAGGCCACCGACAGGGACGGGGGGCCCGCTATGTGCCAGAAATGCCATGTGCCAAGGTTCGCGCCCTCTTCATGCAGCCCATTGTGCCTTTCGAGCAGCTCACTGTCGCCAAGGACAGTGCAACGGCTGCTCGTACACTTCTTTCGCGGAAGTCGGAAGCTGATGCGGAGAGGAGCTCGTGGATTCCGGCGCTGCCAAGATCATGAACGGCCTAGCTGCGGGCCAGGTCCGTTGCAAGGGAGCGGCGTTACCGATCCTAGCTGCATGTAGTCATTTATATTTAAGGGGCTGCGCCCATGGGCGGGCAGCGCACGCAGAAGCCCGGGGCGAGCAGTTTCTAAGCATGTTGAGGCCCCTAAACTCCCTTAAAATCTCTAAGCGTTAAGTTTCTAAGCATTTTCAGGCCCCTAAACTCCCTTCAAATCTCTAAGCGTTTGAGGCTCCGAGACTCCCTTAACGTTTCTAAGCATTTTATAAGGCCTCTAAACTCCCTTTTTCCGAGCCCCGGGCTTAGACACGTCGCTTATGCCCGCCCTTTGGGGGGCATCATGCTCCTGATGCCCCCCCGCGGTCCCGCCCCGGGAGCCGCTGATGCTCCTGATGCGCGCCTGGGGGTCCCGGGCTGGACCCGCTGATGCTCATGATGCGCGCCCTCTGGGGGCCTCCGTGGCGACGCAAAAAACCACGAAAAAAAAACCGTTCACCGGCGGCACGCGGGGGTCGGCGGCACTGGCGTCCGGCCTAATTCTGCTTCGCAGAAGGCCAGAGGCCAGCAAGGCTATTCCCGGGACGACCCGGGCTAAAAGGTCCGCATTTGCTCGGTCCTTTGGGGACCTCGCGCTGCCCGATTTAAAGGCTGACGCCGCTGCCGCCGACCCCCGAGGTAAGCGCGTAGGGTGCAGCCAACACAAAACGTGTGGTTTGATCTGCTTGGCCGCCTTCCAAAACAACAAATTCGGTTGTTTTGGGTAGGGCGGGGGGGGGAAGGGGCCGCGAAGAGAAGGGCAAGGGCGGGCGGGGAGGGCGGGGGCGGGTAGGGAAATGGGTCACAAAACGTTGGAGTATGGAGGTGGGTTACAATACGCGTGGTTCCACCAGGTAGGAAGCAAGCCGCGCGGGTCCATGGGGAAGGGCACTAGCGGGTCCAGCGGGAAAGGTACGAGTCCAGCTTCTTGACGCCGACAAAGGGGGTCGGCGGATCTGTGCATTGTTAGAGCTAACATGCACAAAGCACATGCGCTCCCCTTTTTTTCACAGCGCGCGCTGAGTTGCGTTGAGTTGTTGTGTTCAGGCGGGCTCCCTCATCAAGCGAACAAAGACCGGCTCCGGGTGCAAGGATTGACCGCACTCAGAGAGAACGCTCAGCACTAAAGCAAAACTAAGAAACGGACATGGAAAGAAAACACGCACACACACACACACACTCTCTCTTTTCCTTAGTGCTTGCGTTCTGAGTCTCTGAGTGATTGCTCAATATGTTGCCTTCTCTTGGACGGAGCAGTCCAAGAACAGGATGTTGGGATGTCCCGGGGCTGCAGAAAGTTGGAATCGTGAAGTAGATGCCAGTTCCCACAACGCAGGAAGACGCAAAGGAGCTGTGCGAGAAGCTGTCCAAGGTGGTTTTTTTTCCAGAGCTGTCGAGTCTCTGCGTGGTTTTGCAGAGCGCAGTTCCGCGAAGCGTCTGGAGTCTCTTGCTGAAATCTGCTCAGACTGAAATCTGCTGAAATCTGCTCAGATAGCTGACATCCAATCCAACGGCTTCGGGGAGACCCGCCTCCTCGTCCTCAAGGCTCTCAGCGCACGAAACTTTCAGGATCCGAGACGGCCCTAAGTCTCTCTTTCTCCGTAAGAAAAACGCCACAGGAAGGCAAGAAGCAAACCTTGGATGCGGGCGCCTCGGGATCTCGGGATCTCGGGATCCTCTGTACATCTTACAGGCGTCCCCCGTGCTTTGTTCTGTCGGTGCCTTCAAGATGAGGCATGCACAACGAATGCGAACGTGGGCCTCCTGGTGGCGGCCAAGGCTTCCTTTTGTGGTTGCAGTGTCGTGTTGTGCTTCCTGTGGCGCTTTGGTGCCTTCCTTGCTGTCCCTGCAGAGGACGGTGTTCGCCTGACGGCTGGGACCCCAGGAAAAGCCGAGAAGCGGAGGTTCACGAGCACATGCCTGTGTTGAGGTCGCTCAACAGGAGCCCACCGTCTTGAAAGCTGGAGAGACGGGCTCTTGGCAAGTGAGCGAGCACTGCATTGTGTGTGGTTGTGGGTTCAGTACAGAGTGGGCTCGCTCTTTTGTGAAGCTGCATAGACCATTAATCCGGAGATGCGCGGTTGTCCAGAGTGATGGAGAGACAGAGACACAAATAAGATTCCCAGGCCGGTGGCCTTCGACGTTTGCCTGGAGGCGCGCTTTCTTTCAACACGGGAGCTTTAGGCCGTTTGGGGGGAGGTTTGAGGTGTTGTCTTCGGAAATTTTAGGGGTTGTGGTGGGGGTCCTCAGGGAACTCCAGCAACTCCAATATGTGGGGGGGAATTTTTCCTTGCTGCTGAGGCTTAAAGCAGAGTTCCGCTTAATTGCAATTGTGCGCAGGTCGTTGTCCCCCCAAAATCTCAAAAAACCCACGAGTCCTAAAAGCATCCAAGCGCGCGAAGCTGCACGTCGCTTGCCGAGCCAAGTGGAAGGCGCCCAAATTTCGACGGGGGCCGTCAGACCGGCTCCCCGAATGCGCGTCGCTCGCAGACTGGTGCAGCGTGCAGATGTGTGACCAGCGAGGCGAGTCTCCAAGCTGACGAGAAGGTGCCGGTGCTCTTTGCACAGGCCCCCGCTTTTGGTGAGGGCAACGTCCTGGGTCTTCGGCAGTGTTTGGCAGTGTTTGGCAGTGTTTGGCAGTGGGGTCATCTTTGCCTTGTTCAAAATGCGCGGCTCAAAGACTCAAAGCCATAACTCTCTTGTTCTCTAACGTGCTCAAGTCCAAACAGCGTTTACACAAAAGTAAAGTCGCTGTTGTCGCCCCCCCCCTTCCTCTCGTAGAGCAGGCCTGGCACCCCGAGTTCGCCGCGGTGGAGCGGACCACCGAGCTCAGGGCGAGCCTGGGGCCCCGGAACTGGGCTCCCCCCCCCCCCGGGCCCGGAACTCCAGAGAACGAGTCCTTTTTCCATGAAGACCTCTGTCGAGAGAGAGAGAGAGAGAGAAGTTGATCGCGCGCGCGGGCGCACCCCCGCGAAACTCAGAAGGTTAACCTCCGGCCCTCGGATTGCTCCTTCTCTCCTTTTTTCTCTCCTCTTCAGTTCTCCTCCCTCCTGGTCGTGAGGAGCTTCGGCTTTCGGCTTGTCTGAAGACGAGGTGAAAGCAGCAACCAAGGCGGCGTCAGAGCTGTTGACTTGGGGGCGCTGTGTCGCCGTGTCGCCGGAGTCCAGGTGGTCAATGACCATGCGAAGTCGGCATGGGATAAGAGCCCTGGCCCTATCTCGCTGCGCCTGCGCTTGTCGCTTGCATAGGCCGCAGGGGAAAAAGGTGCATCGATTAGCGTTCAAGGCGGCTCTCTTCGTGGCGTCGTAGCCCTTCTCTCCTCAACAGACTTGGCTCTGATGGCTCCCAGGCGCCAAGCACTGGCGCGCAACGTCCAGTGGCCTCGAGTCGATGAGGCGTTGGACTGGTGGGGTTTTTGTGCGCTTCATCTTCAAATTGGTTCTTTCCAGGTTCCAGGTTCCAGGTTCCCCCCCCTTCTCTTGATCCTCGCCAGAGCTTCAATTTCAGCTCTGTCTCTTTCAGGAAGTCGCTGCAGGCTCAAGAAGAGGATGCTGCATGCTGTCAGAGTGCGCTTTCCAAGATCTCCGAGTGCCTTTTTTCCAGCTGCTGCGACGAAGGACAAGGCGAAAGCCAAGGAAGCAGCAGAAGAGGCAACGGAATCTCCCATAGTGATTTCCTGTATCTCTCTCCATCTCTTTCTCGCTCTCGCTCTCGCTCTTTTGCGTTTCTGTTGTTCGCTTGTTGCTGTGTTTTGTGCTCCAGGCGAAGAAGAAAGAGGAGGAGGCCAACGACGAAGACCGCAAGCGATCCTTGCAGGCCAGAAGTGACAATAAATGAGAAGCGGTGTCGGGGGCCAATCGGGGTGCGCGAAGCGCAGTGGGAATCGTGCATCCCAGAGTTGCAGGCGGCAGGGAGTTTCGGGGTGTTCTCGTCATGTGGGGAGTCTTAGCTTGGCGGAAATTGCAGACCAAGAGTACAACCGAGTTGTGGCTGCAGGCGCTGCTAGTAACTACACTCGTAGTACCTGCAGTCCCAGAGCTGAAAATATCGGCACAGGCCAGGCAGTCCATTATCTAACCCGGAAATCTGACGTTTCTGCCAGCGAGCGTACCCATCAACTCCGCCTCGCTGAGCCTCAGAACTTCAGAAGGCAAAAAAGGCAAAATATATGGTGAAATAGATTCTGACATAATAAATATTATATATATATATATATGCATACATATAGTCCGGCATGCCCATGGCAGGAGCTCGAGCGAAAGCGCGCAGAGAAGCGGCGCCAGCAAGAGGAGGCACGGAGAGGTGACCAGGTTCTGCCCCCGAAAACGGGGGGAGCAGTGGCGGGGGAGCAGCGGCGGGAGCAGTGGCGGGGGCACTGGCAGTGGGAGCAGCGGGCCGAGGGGAGCCTCTGCTTTGGTTCTTTGGTTCACCAGGCCGAAGCAAAGCGGCTGGCGCGCAAGAAGCAGCTGGAAGAGGATCCCCGGCGTTAGGCAGACTGCGTATAGGGATTCTGACGCTGATGTGCTGCTGAGCTTGAGGAGAGGGCGAAGCGTGACCCCTGGCTCCTCTTTCCAGAGGTCGTTGAGGCTGAGAAGAAAGTTGAGGCAAGCTGCCTTGCAGCTGCTTGCGCGTGTTGCTTGCAAGACTTCTGGTGACAACGCAGAGCTTAAATTCCTGAGACTTCCGGGTAGTGGGGGGTGGGACATGAGTTGCGCCAGCGCAGCTCCCATGAACGGACTCTTGGGCCCAAGCGCATTCAAGCGAGGTGAAGTCTCAGCATGGCGATCTCTGAAGATCTTTTTAGTCATTCACAGATTCGGTTGAAGGACACAAGCCAGGCAAGCAGAAAGGCTTTGAAAGAGTCATGGGCACCCAGTCGCAGCTTCTAATGGACCGGATGGACGTCCGTGCTCGGCCCCTGAGAGCTCTGGTCCTCGCGGTGGGCGTGGTCTTTTTCCCGGCCCTGCTGAGCTTCGTCGCGCCCTTCGCGCCGCAGGGGGCCCACACGGCCCGCACCGCCCAGACCGCCCAGACCGCCCAGACCGCCCTCCGCGCCTTCAGCTGGGATGCAGAAGAGCCCCCAGCCCTCCCGGAAACGCCGGAGGAGATGCTCCAGCAGGCTGCAGACGCAGTGATGCGGGCTTACAGGGATGGCAAGACCAGGCAAGCAGTAAGGCTTCGACTGGATCAGCTGTTTGACATGGAGTCCCTCTATGTCAAGGGCATCGAGGCCCACTCGTCCACCTTTTTCCACTTTTCTCTCTTCTCACTTCTGAGAACTTCTGAGCTCACTTCTCCTTATCTTCTCCTCTCCTGCCGCTACAGGCGTTGCAGTTGGCGACCACGCCATACATGGAGACCTTTGTCAAGAAACTCTGGGGAGGCGAGTACCTCAAGGAAATCAGGAGACGCCGATAGCGCAGAACGGCTGGCCTCCCCCCTCTCTCTCTCTCTCTCTCTCTCGCTCTCTCTCTCTCTCTCCCTATCTCTCTATCTCTCTCTCTCTCTCTCTCTCCCTCTCCCGTTCCGTCTCACTCTCGGATCGTGTGCACTCTTTCGCAGGACATCCGTGGTGGATGAGCAGGCCATTGGTGTGTTGTGTGTGTGTGTGTTGCTTATAGAGCGTGCCGTGCGTTCCCCCTCAGCGTTTCTTCTGCCGTGTCCTGTTCAACGTAGGCCGGCACGCTGATCTACCGCGAGTCGGAGAACGAGCTCCAGGACATGGCCGTCATGTTCCTCCCAGGCGCGCCCTAAATGACTATTAGAGTGGATGCAGTGAGAAGAAGAAGAAGAAGCGGAGAAGGGGATTGGGGGAGAAGGGAGGGAAAGATACGAGAGAGGCTGAAAAGGAGAGAGACAGAGAGGGGGACATTCTGGCAGGGGTAGAATGTGCAGTGAGTTGAGAGACAGCAGAGGAAAGGGGTCTCACAAGAAGCTCCAGGTCGGGACCTGATGGCGGAGCCCAAGACCCAGAACTTCATCCGCAAGATGACCGACAGGCGGAAGAAGAAAGGAGAAGAACAGGGGGAGGGCATTGGCTTAGGGGGGGATCTCCTGGACGCAGAACTGAGTTTCTGCCTCCTCCTGAGTTCAGGTTGGTGGTGATCCTGAACTCCGAGCCCCTCGGCCCCAACTCTTCGGCGTCGGAACGGTGGTGATCGGTGGTGGTTCAGTGAAGTTCAGTGACTCAATTCTTGAGACGTCGTGGATGCCTCACTTCCGCCTAACCACCACCAGCAGAACAAAGCTGGGAGTTAATACGAATCGGTCCTCACCAGGCTTACGCCCAGTTGCAAGAAAGAACCGGACTTGCAGTGTGCCACACCGTGCCATGGCAAGGAACGCGCAAAGCGACTTCCGGGTGGACTACAAGGGCATGGACTGGAGTGACTACACGAGCTTTGGCGTGCAGCTGCTCGACTGCACGCGGTGTCTAAAAGGCGATGAGTCGGATCGCCCCAATTTCTGCCTGTTGTTCGTCACCTTTCGCGTCGCCATGTTCAGTCTGGGCTCTGGAGCAGAGCTGCGGAATGCTGCGGAATGCTGCGGAACTGTCACAGATTGCTCAGCTGAGGATTAGCGAGATGTTCAGCGAGCAGTCCTACTACTACAGCTACGGCCCCTTTGAGTCGTGGGGGACCCAAGAGAAAAGAAGCACCACATGGTGCTTTTTGCGGTGTCTGGAAAGGGGGTCCTTCTTTTTGGCAGTACATAGCACAGTGCATAGCACATGATGCCACGGATGCCCAGGTGGCAGCTGACCGTCTTCCGGGCGTATCCTTTTAACTGGGAGATTTACATCGAAGACCTTGAATACAACACGGCAGTGGGCCCAGACATGTTTCCCCACGTGTTTCCACTTTTTTTTCAGGATGCCAGATGCCTTGGCCACCGAGGTGAAGATTTTCGACAGCCCCTACAAGCCCACGTCCAACCAGGTCGTGGCCAGACTCTTGCAGTATGAGGAGAAGAACAAAATCCCAACCTTCAAGAAGATCGGCAAGTACATGAAGGCTGAGCCCGACTTGGGCTGTTGCTACAAGCAGCCCCACACGATGGTGCAGGGATCATTGCAGGGGCTTCGTAACTAGGCCATCTGCCAACAATTGCTGCAGACGCGAGGCGTGATCCCGTGTGCTGAGCATCCCCAGAATATGCGTGACACATCGCCGGCGTACCGTAAAATAAATTAGGCATCTTCAGCTGCTGTAAGTGGGAATGTTCCTTTCGTCGAGCGCGTCCAAGATATGCCGGTTCCGCACCAGAACACGCCGTTTCTGTATGTTTCTGTATCGTATTGCGAGCATGCCTGAGTTTGAGTCTTGAGAACCATGTGGCATTCGTTCTGCAAGCTCTTAAAACTGTTTTGGGCAAGGGTGGTCTCAGTTGCAGTCCCTCAAGAGCTTTGTTTGCGATGCCCCCTACATTGCCTACACTGCCGATTCTGCCTACACTCTCAGATCCGAATGCTCACTTGAGTGCATGCGCGCTTGCGCGCACTTTTCTCACCGAGAGGCCGTGAGACGCCCCTTTAAAAGCTGTTCAAAACGCAACCTGTGCATCATGGCTCACCCACTGCAAGCGGGGGTCCTCTCTGAACGCTGCTCATCTGGCAATCGTCCTGAGACACATGCTCTGAGTTTTGCGATGCTCGCTCGAAAGGAGGGTCGATTTTTTTGGCCGAAGCGCCTTAGAAGCAAGAGAAAGACTTGCCGCGGAAGGAACAATTCTAAGACGTAATGCGCATTTTCAGCTACACATGCCATGAGGCCGGGAAATGAAGGTGGATGCCCACAGTTCCCTGCTCTTCACTCGGCCCTTCTCTGCTTGCCTCAGAAGCTCCGGAGCTCCTAAAGTGATTTCACTTGAAGCTGGGACGTGTGACCTCTTTGTTCGGAACTCACACCCAGCGAAAATCAAAATGATGTCCTCGCCTTCGAAGGAGCTGCGCGCTTTGCGGTGACCATGTGCCTTCTTCATCTCCTCCATTCTCCTCCCCTTACTCCCCTTGCTTTGATTGAAAAGCAAAATGGTGACTTCAGCGACTTCAATCTCTCCAGAAAGTCGAAGAGTGCTCTCCGACGGTGGGAAAGTAGCGGAGTGGTGGGGGGTGGCACCAAGGGTCAGGAGCGGGGCAGAGCCCTGCCTTCCCTTCTTAAGTCGCCCCTCGATTCTCTCCCTCCTCCTCTCAGCTGCCTACACAGCGTATATTGGGTACTTGCGCGCATGGTTTCTGCAGTTTCTTCTCCATCCCAGAAGAACACCTCCATGGAGTCCCAAGCACCTCAGCTTTCGACCCCATTTGAGAGCCACAGCAGCAGGACACCATGCGCCAGGAGGAGGCGAGTGAGGAAGCCGAGCCAGGCTGGCGGGCTTCCGCAAGCCCCGAGGCGACTTGTTTTTTTTTTCGGAGTCTCAGTGATCTTGGGCACTTTGATGTTGCACTTCATTGTCTCCCCTTTCTGCTCTCAACTCTCAGCTCCCTCTCTTTCTGCCTCTTCTCCCTTCTCTCTCTTTCTGCCTCTTCTCTCTTCTCGGCTCTTCCGAGTTTGGAGAATTGGCTCTCCGCCTCTTTGACTCTTCGAGACTTCGAGACTTCGAGACTTCGAGAGGAGATGGAGGAACGGCAGAGGCAGATGGAGAAGCGAGCCAAGGAGGAGGCACACCCGGGGCTGCAAGGGCTACAAGGGCTACATCCCCCCTCGGTGTTAAGGCCCCCCCCATACATGGCCATGCGCTCCTATACTGTTCGTGCACAACTCGTCGGAACAAGAGGCAGCCTACACTCACGCTTACAATTCCCTGTTCCTTATCAAGTCGTATTCCAAGGATTCCCCGCTCCCAACGGTAGACATTCGTGGGTCAGCATTGAGCGCAGTCTTGTGCTGGAATTTCGGCTATCACTGCTATCACCCTTAGGGGCCTAGCGGCCTGGGGGCCGAGGGCTTGAATGAGGAGACTAGGGGCTTTCTCCACTCTGTGAGGCTGAGAAGATGGAGAAGGGGGCGTGAGCGCTTGCGGTCTGCGGCTGCCCCCACTCAGAGGTCCTTCGATCCTTGGGTTGTAGAAGCAGGAGTTGAGGAGTTGAGGAGTTGGACCTGCTCAATCTGTTCTCGGGTTGGATGCGTCTGTTCGCGCATCCATGCGACTCGCGACGGGGCTGCATCGCAACGTTTCTCGCCCCGCATTGCGGAGAGCCAATGTTCTTTCTACGCTTAGCGGTCTGTGGCCTTCGTGAAGAAGACTCGAGTGACAGTCGCTTAGCGCTATGAGTTATGACCGGTTATCTGACATTAAATGCATAATTAGTTGCGTCATCATCATTGAATCATGCTAAATGCAATGTTCCAGTGGTCAAGAGTTCACGACACCACAGCTCGGTGGTCCGAGAGCCTCATTTTTCCTCAGATTTTCGAGCTCTCGGACCTCTCTCGGAGTCTCGTCCGGCCTCCGGGTTCCACCGCTTCAGGAACCCTAGCACGGCCCATAAGACGCGCGACCAGCGCAGACTGCATCGGCGATTGGGCGAGCGCCCCAAAAGAAATCTCAGTTCAGTGCTCTTGCAGGGGGCCCGGCAGGGGGGCGCTATGGGCGCTTGTTGCGAGATGCCAGACTCAGACTCTGCGCCAGACATGTCGTGAGGACCTCAAAGAACAAAGGCGAGATGCCAACGCCAAGCTGGAGTCCACGCCCAAGAGATCTTTGGAGGCTTGAGGCGGACTTGAGAGGCGTTTTGCGGCGTTTTGAGGCGTTTTCAGGCGTTTCGTTTTTGGCACCGCTTGGCGGAGCGGCTCGTTGTGAGGTTTGACTTGTCCAACTCCCTGACGAAGGCCCTGGCAGAGCTTTCAACTGCCCTCTGAACTCTCTGCATGCCGCGTGTTTTCTGCATATCTCTGAGCACAGCGGTGAAAGCAGATGATGATGCCATACATTTACATTTTGGGCTCTCTGCTGCACTTACCCAAAAGTTCCATGACTAGATGACAGACAGTTCTGTGAGGAGATCTCAGCGGCCGAGCGGGCTCTCAAGTCAGCCATCAAGAAAGCCAAGAAGGCCCCCACACCCCCACCCCCCCCCCCCCCCACAAGTCCCCCACAAGTCCCCCCCCCCCCACAAAGTGGAGAGGAGCCTCTTCTCCATACCTCCCCTTTTCTCGGCAATCCGAGGCCCACAAGAAGGGCGAAGCTCCCGGGCCGAGCGGTCCCAGCGGTTCCAGCGCCCCGGACGTCTCAAAGAAGGCCCCGGCATGTGCTTGTACTTTGCTTTGAGAGACTGGCAGCAGCTGGTCTTCAGGGAGTAGCGGAATAGAGCGGGCTCACCCCACCTCAGAGCGCCCCGTGTGTAGCACGGTTGTAGCACAGTTGCAGCACGGCAGAGACTCGGTCGTCACCCCAGAGGACGCACCAGGAGGCGGCGAAGATGCCAAGGTCAAAGAGTCAAAAGAGCTCAAGGCAAAGCTGCAGGAGCTTGGAGCAATATTGCAGGATAACTCCGATGCGCCCGTGGGACGCACTCTGTTTACTTCAGGACGTGAAAAAGAGAAAGGCAGAGGCAAGCAAGGCAATGGCCGTGTCAGGGCCATGTCGGCTGCATTGGGCAGCGGCCCGTCCGAGAATTTCGCGCTCGATTCTTCGATCGCGCGGATGCCGATTCTCAGTGTGCTCTGTGTCGCTGGCCCAAGCTTGCCAATTTGTGCAGCCGTTAGAAAGCTGCTTTTGTTATTCATATGATATAAACTTAGATCTGCCCCGAACCGCAACTAGCTTGAGGAAGCATGACTATCAGTGATTCTCAGCGTCGATCGGGGCTTCAGGGGGCCACGAAGCATGTGGCAGCAGCTCACAGAGCTCACACGCGCTACAAAGCTGCCAAAAAAAAAGCCGCATGTTTTTTGACATCTCGCATTACACAACAAGAGGCCTTCGCGAGTCAGAGGAGGCTCCACAGAGCAGACCAGCAAAGAGACCAAAGAGGGAGAGAAGGAGAGAGTAGCGCTTCTTCGCCGCCGCTGCTGCCCCTCTCGGCCGGCGCCTCGGTGCCTGACACCCCCCATGTGTGCCCTCTGTGAGTGGAGCTTTTTCGTGAAGTTGTTCTCTGTGTTTTTGGTTTCCTCCCGGCCCAGGACCCCTCTCTCGGCATCAATGAAGCCCCAAGCCTAGACTCGGCGGCAAAGCGGCCGGTTGACCAGATCAATCAACATCAGATCCGCCTCTCATTCTCTATCATTTTTGCGTTCTTCCAAAGGTACCGCTTCGACTTGTACGTGCGCTACACGGTGGAGGCCAAAGAGCGTGGCTAACTCCCAGGAGACAAAAATGGAGAAGCATGGAGAGAGACAGAGAAGCAAGAAAAACAAGAGAGCAAGAGAGAGCAAGAGAGAGAGAGAGAGAGCAGCACGAGAGCAAGAGAGAGGGCAAGAGCGTCAGAAGCCCATTGCCTCAGATCGATCTGCCCAACCTTATCTCCACGATGGACGCGCTGAACGGAATCGCCAACAGGGACCCCCGATTGGCAGCCGCGCCCGAAACTGCTTTTGCTTGCTCTTTTGACAGAAGCCTTATCAGCCTTCTGAAAATTTATACCGTATTTTGTGCTGTAAATTTTCAGAGATCAATTCCTGCGTGGAGGAGATGGGCCTAGCCGTGGGTCGGCCCAATTTAGCCTCACTTCTTCGCCTCTATGAGCAGACTTTTTGTCCCTCCGGACTCCTCTCATCTTTGCCTCAAGACAAGCACGACAATTCGGGGGAAGGTTCTCAGAATTCTCAGAGCGCGCTCGAAGATTCTTTTCTGAGAGGAGTTCGCCTACATCCTCAGGCATCGATTTGAGATTTTGAGACGTCTTTTGAGATGGCTTGGGTCTGCTTGGAATATGCAAAATCCTTTTGCTCAGGGAGTTCACCAAGCTCCAGATGTACAGCTGCAGCGGGCCCCCCACCGGAACAGCACTCAGCAGACTCAGCTTCCTTCCAATAAAGTCCCCTCTTTCAGCCCCTCTTTCAGCTCTCTCAGGCTGGAGCAGCCAGGTCTTAAGCAGGCTGCAGAGCGACCAAGACTTGGCTCAGTGCCCCCTTTGCTGCGTCGAAAAGCGCTCGAATCCGAATCTTGGAGAGGTACATGTCCGCTCTGCCTGCAGGAGGGCCTGTGTTCGAGGCAGTTGCTGCGGTGCAGTGGGGCAAGAGGCGGAGAGACACAAGAACCAGAGGTTCACATGCCGGACGGCTTTGATGCTGGCGCGTGGTACCAGAGGCACCATTGGAGCCGTGTGTGCTGCTTGCTGACTGTAGCTGAGCCAAGAGAGCCCACGCTTGAAATCTCGCACAACCACCTGACAGCAACATCCAGAACTACCAGACCCACATCCAGAAGCTGACCGACCAGGTCCAGAACCTCAGGCCAGCGGCTGCGGCGCGTGGGGGGGGCGATGGTGTTTCCCCTTTTTCCCATTTTTTGGTAGCCCCCTCAGTGAGAGGCAGCAGGGCCAGGGCCTTCAGCAGGCGAGTCTGCGCGCGCCGTGTGTGGGTGGCGGTCTGTTGCTCCCTTTTGCGTGGCTCCGGCCAGGGCTTCATGCTGCTGCAGCAAGTTGCCCCGATCAGCGACGACCAGGAGGGAGCAGATGTCACATCTCTGAACATTTGGACAAGTGGAAGTCGAGTCGGCATCGAAAGGTCTACACCGTCGTCCACAAGTACGGACAGGGAGTTCACCCAGCGAGCTGTCCTTACTTGTCCTCGAAGATGCTCAGTTCTCAGTTGCTGGCATCGGTTTGATTATCCGTTCTTTGTCAGGGTCACGGCGATGACGGGCAATCCGGAAGACCTCTTCTCCAACCAGCAGGGCTTGCGTGTATTGTCGCACCTGGGCTGATTCTACACTGTGTCACTACGCTGCACTTCAGTATCTCGACAAAGCCCATTTTTGAGGTACTGGGGCTCCGACCCCACGCGAATGCAGGACTGAGCACAACAGTAGCCTGAGCCAGGGCGTAAACAGATGTCTCCCGGCCCGCTTTCCAGCCCTCGTATTCCGTGAGGATGTTTACCAGACGGGGGGCTTTCCGCCCGTTCTCCACGCCATGCAACAGTTCCCTGAGGCGGCAAGCACTTCGGTGCTGCACAGAACTGTACTTCTGAATGTGCAAAAACATTTTGTCTGCCTTAAATTAAGAACTCCCCGCAAGACTTTGAGCGTTGCGGAGCCTCGGAGGATCCCGGCGTCGGCCGGTATGGGGTCCAGCCGCGTCCCCCTTTTCACTGACTCTATCTGACTCTCATACCATTTGCCCATTTTGGTGATGCCCATCAATGATGCCATCATTTAGGGCCCCCCGGCACTTTGCGAATGCCAAGGTTCCTGTCCCATGCAGCCAACACCAGCACGGAGGCTCTCTGCTTTTAGTCCGCTGCTGTGTGAACCGATTGCCCAGCTTCCCGTGGCTGCCAGCACATGCGGGAATTGCACCACCTGGGAAGTATTCCGATTGTCATCAAGCCGCAGCCTCATGAGGGCCTGCCTTGATCGTTGCCTACACTTGCAACACTGTGTTACACTTCTTTAGGCAGATGAACCAGTTCCCGCAGGACAACTTTCTGCAGCAGTGCCCCCTTCAATAAGGTCTCTGTTACAAGCGATAGAGAGAGCATCCCATGTGGACGCACCGGCGACTGCTCAGAGCGCTACGATGTACCACGACGTGCTGCATGTTTCATCAGGTACGGGTGCCAATACCTTTGTTCCATGGCTCAAATACCGGAGGTCCGGGATGAAATCCTGAAGGCCTGACGAGCGCATATGGTCCCAATCATTCTTGGAATCGTTGCCATCATTCCGGTCATTTCCGGTCATTCTTGCGCCCTTTTGCTTCTCGACTGGCTCGCAAAGGCGGGGGTTGGACATGGAGTTATGATGAAAGCATTGCGTGCATGTCCTGTAGGCCCTGTAGGCCTTCATTCCAACTCAAGCTTAGCAAGGGCGTCTTGCCGTATATTTGTCAGATATTGCCGTTGTGTAAGTCGAGCTCCACATGGCTGGCCCAGAGACTTCGCAGAGACCAGGCGCGGAGAGCCGAAGGGAGCGCGAGACAGCGAGACAAGCGAGACACGAGCGGCACACGCTCCCCCCGAGAGAGCAGAAAGTGGTCCAAAGGCGGTCGCTGCTGATGGTTGAAGATGATGCAGCGACTCCAGCGACTCCGACGCACAGCCTTCAGCCGCCTTAGAATATTGCGGAAGACACGGGTCGTCTCTAGTGCCCTCAACTCTGTACACTGCACACCCTCCGTCAGCCATCAACATGCCCCCAGGGTTCAGCTGTGTGACTCTGCTGTTTGAGTGCAAGTACCCCCAGCTCGTGGACGTTTTGTGCATCTCAGGCACGGACGCCCAAGTATGCAAGCTTCAGCCCGAAGAAGAAGGAAGAGGAGACAAAAGTGGGCGACCTCAGTGACCCCTCTGTTTTCTCGCAGAGAAGCACTGCGTGGTGTTGCAATGTGTTGCACATCTCTCCAGAAAATCTTGGGGAGCTTAGCCTTCAGGTTGGCACCGTAGATGTCAGCTTCGTGGACCCGTTGTCCCAGAAGGTTTCCTACAAGGATACTCGGCTGCAAGAGTTGCGTTACGAAGGATTGTGGGAGGCATGTCAGGCAAGGAGCAGCAAGGAGCAGCAGCATCCGAAAGCCGTTCCTTCTCGAAATTGAACTCTCTCCACACACACACAGAGACATGACCCCTGGCCCGCACCAGCAGAGGTAGTCCAAGAGCAATGTTCTGACGTGCGTATGAAGATGTACACCTTCCGATCAATCTGGTCTCCACACGGCATCTACCACATCGACTGAGCTTTCTAGGGAGGGAAGAAACTTGCAGGAAACAAGAGAGAGAGAGAGAGAGAGAGAAGTCGAAGTTCTTCAGGGGGCTCAGGCCTGGGGTAACAAAGACAGAGGAACGTTGGCCTGGTGCGCTCAGGCAAAGATGGAATCCAACAAATGACCATCAACATGTGACAAAGGCTCATCCGATTTGTTTTGTATTGTGTTTTGCTACGCCACGCAAACTTGCGTCAAAGCATACGAGTCCTTTTGAAAGCCATCATGCGAGCGTGTGTGTCCTTATGAAGAGTACAAACCCCCCCCCCCCCGCACTCCAAACCCGCCCCCCCAAAAAAAGCAATAAAAAACAAGCCCGCACCCGCAGCAAAAAACAAAAATTGCGACCCGCACCTGCAACAAAGAAAAACGCGCGACAAAAAGAACTCAGACCTGTTTAACATGAGCGTAAAAGTTTGCTTGTTTCCGTCCTGTGATTTTGCTCATTGTCATTAGTTTTCAGATCCTAGACGCCTCTCCGCCAGAAGCCGAGGCAAGGGATTATGAAAGTTTTTGGCCTCAGCGCACCTGCCAGAGCAATTAAATCTACTTCAAGAGACGCTTCCTTTATTTTGGCCAGGGCCAGCGGCTGCAGAAAACCGTTTTTTCCGGAGTAACGCGATATGTCATTCCCACGATGCCGTGTGTTTTGCGCATGCGTGCCGGGGCCACGCTTGGACAACAGACGCCGCAGCACTGAGGAAGTTTACCTGGATCCAGAAACATGGTCGAAGCGTGCCAACACAATGTGCCATCCCCAGTGGGCGCGTGCCTTCTGAGCTGCCAAGCTTGATCTTCAGTTTCTGAAGACTCTGCAACTTTACAGAGTCACTTCAAGCTCATCGAACCGGGGGCAGCTTTCTGAGACATAGCATATCCGGCAGAGGCGCTTCCTGATCAGCGCCGACCTCGTGAACCTGGTGACCGAGTCGCAAATGATGCGGCACAAGCGTTTCAGGCGCTTCCCAGGGAGCTTCCCCCAGATTGCCCCTGCGATTCGGGCACGAGCACGTTCTAATCAGACATGTTTCCACAAAATTGTTCTGGGGTGTTACAATGTGCGTGTGAAATGCGCGCCGCCTCGACAGCCGGGCTGGTGCGTGTGCACCGTCCGAGAGGGGAGCGGGTCAGCCAGGCCAAAACTCAGGGGGACCCCAGGAACGGGAAGAGGGTGGTTTTTGGCGTGGTCTAAGGGCCCACAGCGTGGAAACCCCGTGGCGGATTGGGGGTGCAGACCGGTGACTGGAACCTGGTCTCTTTGTTCTAGATGCTTCTCGGCTGGGAAGCCGAGGCGAAGTCTCTTTGGAAGACCACACAGGAAATACAATGCCGCAATGCCGCAATGCCCTTTACCACACAGGAAAGCCAAGAAGGTCATGGAAGAGACACGCCTGGCCTTCCTGGTGGATCTGTGGAAGCTCCGAGGGACGTGCCCTTAGAAGGCTTCGAGAGAGTCCCGCTGCGTAGGTTCCATGTGACCTGGCCGCGTGGCCTGGTGGCTCTGTTGGCTCTGCTGGCTCTGCGCTCTGTTGGCTCTGTTGGCGCTGACCCAAGGTTGGTGGGCAGAGTACGCAGGGCAGCCGAAGTTGAGGAGGACTAAGAGGGTTTCAACGCCTCCAGACCAGCTCAGCCTTGAATTGGTTTGCGACTCTGTGTCCAGCGCAAGGAGATAGCAGCCATCCCTGATGAGCCCTGCGCGGTCCCCGAAAAGGGCTCAGTCGTTCAAGTTCTCCGCTTACTGTCGCTTTGGATTGCAGGTCCTGTCCGATTCTTCGTGCCCGAGATGTACTTCGACGATGCTCGGAAGAACAAAAGCTTTCGGAAGGGGGCTGAATCAGGCAGAGAGGCAGAAGAGGCTGCTTTTGGGGCCCTGTTGGTCCCCGTGCTCGGCTAGTTTTCTTCTCGTGGCGCCTCCACCCTTCTCAGATCTTTTCAGCTTCTGAGCCTTCCCAGGACCACACGCTGGAGTGCATCACGAAGGCGAGCGCGGGCTTCTCGGCTCGCGGCTCAGTCTTCGTTCTCAGACGCGGCGCATATTCTCTGGTCTTGTTCTTTCAGTGCTTGTTTGCCCCTTTGCCGTTTTGCAATTTCGGCCGTGAGGGCCACCTCCTTGAAGAGATCCGGCTTCTGCAAGAACGCCTCGATCTTCTTGGCGGCAAGAACTGGCGCGAGGCTCAGATCCGCAGGGATTGAACGGCATGAGCGGCATGAGACATTGCAGTTACTGATCAGTTACTGTGTAGCGATCGGTAGCGCTTCTTCCGTGTCAATTTGCTTTTCTGCCTGGGCCTAGGAGAAACCTGCTGGCTTATGCTCTGAAGTACATGCAGACCACCGAGATCGGCGAGATCGTCGTTGATGCTTTTCCGGACAGCCGGCAGCAGCAACACACTGCAGCTCCACGCGTGGAATGCGGAGCTGGTGCACGTGGCCCACGTAGCGGCTACTAGCAGCACCCACAGAACGCTGCACTGTGCCATGTTTATGCCTGGTGCCCCACCCGCGTCAATAACACAAAATAATCATGCTATTGTGAACAAGGGTCGGCCGTGTGGCCTCGTGTGACCTTGACTCTCAGCACTTTCTCAGAAGCTTACTATACCTGCTGCGCAGGATGTCTCCACCCGCCGGACCGTCGAAAACGCAGTTAGAGCCCTAGGATGCCTGTGGAATCCTGTGGAAGTGCGGTTCTGTCTGTGTGCATGCGGAAGCGGGCTCCACCCTCGTCTGCTCTCAGATCACCCGTGGCTTGTGGGATCAGATTGACGAGCTGTGGCCTCAGCGCTCTCTAAACGATACAAGCTCTGAGAGAGATTGGTCCGCGAGAAGGGCACAGGGCTCAGAGTGTGGGCTCCGAGTGTGGGCTCTCCTCTCTCCTCTCGGATCTCTCCTCTCGGATCTCTCCTCTCGGCTCTCCTCTCCTTTTGCTGAGAGGTTGCAGCCCGTCGTGGAGGACTTGGAGGCGGAGATGATGCGAATGCCCCTCGGAGAGTCAGAACATAATCACGCGCGGTTGCACGCACACAACATAAAGGCGAGAGAGAGAAAGAAACAAAAAACACGGCCTCTGGCTCAAAGCTGCTGCAGGAACACTCTCGCTTGTCGTCCGAGTTTTTGCATAGTGCGGCGAGTACAGAACAGTGCAGAGAGAGAGAGAGAGAGAAGGAGAAGCAGAAGAAGAGAGAGATAGAGAGAGATAGAGAGCGCGCGTGCGCCCCCCGGAGCTCTCACGAGGCATCTCTTGGAGGAAGCCGACGCCCGAGTCGAGGCTGTTCAGGAGGCCCCGAATTGAGCATACGAGGGCCTGGGCGCTGTCGAGTTGGGGTATGTTGGGCAAGATCATGCAACACTATTGCCAAAATATGGTCGCTAGGAGGCACCTTTTCTGGGTTGTGAGGAGTGGCCTTCGCGAGGGGATGGCCCCGCCTTCAAGGGCCTTCAAACGCTTCCCCTACCCCCTGAGGACATCGCCAGGAAGCTGGCTGCCATCAGCTCCTTCAACGAGCCCGGGGCCCAGCGAATCAGCCTAAGGCATCGAAACGCTCCTAGAAACGTAGGGATTTAGGGAATTTAGGGAATTTAGGGGGTTTAGGGTGCTGATGGAGGCGCCTCCCCCCAATTTGCGGCCCCTGGCCTTGCTGTGCAAAGAAAGCGTGCCTTTCTATCCATTTTCATTCCATGATGATGTTCTCCATTTGTTGGAAGTCCCCGAAACCCCTATTGAGGTCCATGAGCCCGATATGACGTTTCCACAGAATTTCTCGGCTCTAAAAACATTGATGGGTTCCTGCAATTCCTATTGAGCCCTTCTGCGGCATCTTGGAATACACATGGCTACCCATTTTTCAATGGAAAGGGTCCTTTGTTCTGCCGGTGGCTTCCTTGGCTTCCTACCACACACCCGCTCCTTTGA